CAAGCTGCATTAGTCCGTGCATTGGATAAAGTGTTTGACTCAGAAGTTGAAGATTTCACCGCTATCTACATCGATGACATCTGTATTATTTCACCAGATTTCTCAACCCATATGAAACACCTTGAATATATTTTCCAAAAACTTGAAGAAGCTAACATGACAGTTAAATTCAGCAAATCTAAATTCTGCCAGAACTCAGTACCATTTTTAGGATATACTCTAACCAATGAAGGGCTACAAATGGATCAGAGTAAAGTGGATCCTATATTAAACTTTCCAACCCCTAAGAATCGATCACAACTAAAAGCTTTCCTCGGTAGCATCAACTACTATAACAAATTCATTGACAAATTTTCTGCTACAACACAACCTTTAATGAGATTAACATCTAAGAAAAATAAATTCATTTGGACAGAAGATGATGATAAAACATTTTCAAAAATCAAACAACTTTTCCTACAAACCAACACTTTAATCCATCCAGACCCCACTAGAGAATTCTACCTCCAAACAGATGCATCCGACTACGCAATCGGTGGTCACCTATATCAGTTAAGAGAAAATGGCGATAAGGCTGCAATTATGTTCATGTCGCGAACACTACAACCGGCAGAACAAAGATACACCACCACTGAGAAAGAATTGCTTGCTATAATCTACTGTCTCCAAAAAGCTAGATATATCGTCCTTGGAACAAATCTAACAATAATCACTGATAACCATGCCTTAACTTTCCTTAAGAGTTGTCGCTTACTAAATAATCGACTAGCTCGCTGGATATTAATTCTCCAAGAATATAACTTCAAAATCATACATTGCAAAGGCACTGACAACATAACTGCTGATACTCTTAGTCGAATTTCCATCGATAAACCAGCAATCTCATACAACAACCCCATTGAATTAACCATCCATTATATAGACAAAATACCAGATCAAAATCTAAAAGACGCTTTACGAGACCTTCCCCTACTCCAAAGAAGAGATCCTAAACTCCAACACATTATTAACACTTTAGAGATTCAACCAGAATCCGAAATCGGAACAAAACTATCAGCCAATTTTCGATTACATCAAGATACCCTCTACCAACGACTGAAGAATAAATGGCTCATCGCATTACCAAGTTATATGATTGAAAAACTTGTGTGGGGATGTCACCTATTCTACTTACATTGTGGAGCCAAGAAATGTTTTCAACTACTTCAAGAAACCTTTATTTTCCGAAACATGAACAGAATAATTAGGAAACTTCTTTCTACATGCGATACATGTCAAAGGTGTAAGATTAACAACCTTCCGCTGATGGCCACAGCAAAAGGTGTGCGTTGTACTGGCAAAAATGATCAAGTTGCCGTAGACATTATTGGACCTCTACCAACCAGTGTATCAAATGTAAAATATATCCTAATTGTCATAGATATTTTCACAAAATTTATAAAGCTGTACCCCATTCAACGAGCGACAACAAAGATAATTTTAAATAAACTTTTCACTTTGCATTTTCCTACATATGGATACCCAAAAAGGATACAATCAGACAATGGAACTCAATTCAAAAGTGAAGAATGGATCAGACGAATGGAAGAACATAATATTGAGCTAATTTTCAGCCCTGTCTATCACCCTTGCTACAATCTCGCTGAAAGACCAATAAGGGAAATCAAAAGGTGTTTGCGAACCTATTGTTCTCGCCAACATACAAAATGGGCAAAATTCATACCAGAAATAAATGCTTGCTTAAACGAGCTCTATCACGAATCAACAGGATATACACCTAATGAACTTCAGTTAGGAATCAAAGACCAGCGGTTTTGGGACAACTATTTAGCTGAAAACACATTCAATAGTGATACTCCCATTGAACAAAAGTTACTCCTAGCAAGACGAAGACTTGAAGAAAAACGCTTGAAACGATCATCCAAATTAAATGAAAATCGAAAACCTCAAACCCTCAAGATCAATGATAAAGTATTAATCCGATCTCACCACCTCTCTAGAGCTATATACGGCGAGACAGCAAAATTATTCGAAATATACGAAGGACCTTTTATTATAAAGAAAATCTTAGGAAAATCCACATTCCATGTGACTAAAGAAGATGAAGATGTTTTATACGGCCCCTACCATATATCAGCCCTCAAGAAATATTTGGAACCAACCCGAGCAATAGAAGCTGTGATCGACGAGATAGATAATGATGACCCTACCTTCGAAGACATTGTATATCAATAAAATTCATCATGTGTTTCATCCATCAATAGACTTTTGTGCATCATCATCTTCAACCAAATTGTGCCATGGACCTTAATCGCGAGTGCGTGACCCCATAAATTGTGTTTTCCATAAACTAATACCCAGGTGATAAAGTTTATAAACAATACTCACTTACTAATAAACTGTAATCTCCTTAATAACAAAGAAACAATAAAGTTATTTGATATTGAACAACATGGAACAACAGCCATAATATCCCTTTCTTCCCATGCCAGGCCATGAACACTCTATTCTATTTTCCCCATTTTAATGTTATTGTCCTACACATTTGTTAACTTAGATTATAATTTTGTTGTATTATCACCCAATGTTCTATCACCCAGAAAATCAATCATTTAATGTTATTCATACCTATCTTTAAGTATCATTCATATTGATGATTCATGATTCCATTTCATATTTTGTCGAAATCTGTATTTCAAATCATGAACAATACAAAATATGTACAGTGGTGATGTAACTTGTAATATTACATGTCATTCATTCATCATTAACATAAATTTCTCTTTTATTTTGTATATTTTCTCTCATGTCTGTTAATGCCCCTGATAATGTGTTATCAGTTATTTAATTTGTTCCCCTTGTTAATGTGTTATTTTATCCAATTTTGTTCAATGTTATATAGTATCCCATCACCCCACAGAAACATCATCCTATTTTATGTTACAATATAATATTTATGCAAATTCTCTCCATACCTATTAAGTACTCATCAAAAACCAACAATAATCATTTATTTAGAGTAATATATAATTGTAAGAAAATTGCAATATATTAATAACATCTTAAATATAGTATCACTTTTCAAAATTATCCAAAGAAAATCAAAATTACTGTGGCAAGTGTCATTCATGTAAATTAACCAGCTGTACATCACTTCAACAATGGACATGGACTTCCTGAGCTTCTACCATTGCCTCTGCCCAGATCCTGTCAACTCTTCACAGTGTGAACATCATTCTATTGGAAATTGTGTTTAATTTAAACTTAAATTCATAATCCCAAAGTAAAACCTAAAATTTAAATCTCTCATCATCCAAAAGTATTGGACAAGTGCATTGAAGAGTACCAATTTATAAGAAGACAGACACTCCAAATTTGGTAACCATCATCCATCTTATTTAAACTAAGGACAAATTTAATCTTCATTGGACATTTAATCAGTATAGCCTACTAGGCCCAAAACTCAACTCATCAAGATATACATACTTTAAATTGAACTTTTATTCAAAATTTAATCTTCAAATTCTATTTTATTTCATTAAATTCAGTGAAACCATTTGGAATCTTTCTTTGGACATTAACATTATTATACTAATAGCATCATGAACCTAGCTTAACTTATTTCAGAACAATAACTAAATTAAATTATTTGCATTTTAAAGAAGCCTAATATATCATTCGAACCGGCACGACCACCCCTCCCTGAGATTAAGAGGTCATCTATTTGAATATTAATTAGTACTTAAGAAGAAACCAACCCAATATAGGCCTAAGCCTAGAGAATCTTTTCATCCACTTTGGAACCCCACCATTTTGAAAATTTACCACCATTGTTAACTTACCCTGTAGCTAATTCGACCAACAACTTATATTTGTATTTCATTAATAAATTTTATATTGTAACTAACCAAATCTATTTATTCTTAAAATAATTCATAATTATAAGATTAAGACAAAGACTTACCTTATTAGATAGAAACAAAACACAAATTAGGAATTATCTTTATTAGAAAGAAAGGGCTTTGAGTTCAATGTGGGCTAACTTAGTAGCCGAGGAATTTTGTAGGCCTAAGTTAATGAATAGCCTATAGAAAGCTTTATGGTGTGTAGCAAACTATTCAAACCTACAAAACAGTTGGTGAAAGTAAACTTCTGCTTTTAAATTATATTTTTTTGTAAACATTTTAGTTCAAAAAGTCTGACATTTGACCCCTTTAAATCCTCTGGGGCGGAGCCCTTTTGACTGATCTGTATCAAACTTCACACAAATCATCCTTGAATAACACTTAATAATGCCTGAAAGTTTCATTACAATCTGTCGAGCGGTTCCGGAGTCCATAGGGTGTACATACATACTTCCTCCTTTATAGATATAGATATAGTAGTTAATGATTGTATTTATGTGTAAAAGCCAAATCGTCAGAAAAGCATTTGGGTCAGTATTTTCATGTTAAGTAATTACTAAAATCCTGGCCTTAATTGGTTTGAAAATAAACTAACCGTTTTAGAAATGATTCATAAGTAAATGCTATGCTCAAGTTATGCAAGTGGCTTGATTTTTTAGTGGTGCCTAGCCTACAAGCTCAAGATTTCGAGCACCAAGTTAGAAAATCGAGGCCGAGCCAAGCTTTTACTATCACGATTGCAGAACGCATCTTGTGCAATTGCGAAATTCTCGCTTTCGCGGGGATTTTGGATGAAGACAATAACGTTTGCATGATAACAAAAGACCATGATGATGTTTCTGTGACCCCGAGAAACATTCAGCATCCTGCCACGATCATAGAAAACGATGAAAATGTTTCTGTGACTGCTGGAGATATCCAGGATATGTCAGTGATCGCAGAAGGAGAATAAGTTGGTAATATTGGTCTGCTATATATTGAGGTTGCACTGATATATTGCTTTCAGCCGTTTCTTGAATACTCACAAGTTGTAAGTCAAAGTTTGGAAGGGTGCGAGCATGTGTTTCTCCAGTAACGGATAATGGTTTGTTGCAGTGTAAGGGACGAGTGGGTGCCCGAGTCCAAGGTTCGTCAGACCCAGCAGGTCAGTTGGAGCAAGTGTGAGGAGCCCCAGGCATGGATGCAGCCCCCGCTGTTCCACCCCCGCCCAGGCCACAACAAGAGGAAACACACATCCGGCCCTGCTAAGCGATGATACACTGTGTAATTCCTAGTTACCTAATTGTCTTATCTAGTTTTGTCTGATCTGTTGTTAAACCAACTCTTGAAAATGCTCAGTTTCAAGTTGGGATGATTGGGAAATTTGTTTAGGGGCTTTACATTCGGGGCTCGAAGTGTACGGTAGACAAAGTAATCTTATTTTCCTGCTGGGTTGGTGGAGATTAAACTGTCCAATTAAAATAAATCATTTTTTCTTTATTTTGTATGAGAATAAAGTAGTTAAATTTATTTCTGAAGTCTTTCTTAATGAGGTTTTCCATCCTCTAACTAAATTATATGAATATAGATGTTTAATCGTTGGCTGGATCATAAAAAAAATGTTTAAACAAACAATTATTTACAACAGGGATGTTTTTAACTTGACACTGGTGTTGCACTTTGGTGTACTTCTAATCTTGTGATAGTTATTTCCTTTATTAGGCTGTGTTTAATGAAGAACCTACTGTAAGCTGAGCATTTTCAAAAGCGTCGCTCTTGTTAATTGTACACATTGTAATTGAATTTATATCGTACGTTAATTTATTTCCAAACTCGTTTTCAGTTTGGAGGCTCTTCCTAAAATACTTGTATTTATTTGATTTAGTTTTAAGGTTTTAGAGCTGATAGACAGGTAACACTACTTGTCTGGTATCCCTCGTCGGTCTATCCAATGGTGCCGCGTTGTGTTCATTTGTGTCTTTTAATATTTTTAAATTTGTTATTTTTACATTTTATGTATTAGTATTAATGTTAGAAATTTAGCGTCGGTTTTTAAAATTATATATTATATATAGTTGATTTATTCAAGAACTGATTTTCGTCTTATTTTGTACTTTTATGATTACAGTACTTCAAATTCTCTTCGGGATAAGAATATTTTAGAACTTTCTGTGTATTTGACTTTAAATACTTATTTCATTGTCCTTGTTCCTTGAATATTCATCACTGCCACAATGGATCGTGCACGGTGGTACATTATTGTGTGAATTGCGTAACTAAACATGTGAACCAGTAAAGTGCAAAGTAGTCAAGTTATCTCATGTTAGATATTTACAGTGTCTTAGGCTCAAATTGTAAGCATAAATCCTAAAGTGTGTCAACTCTTCCATACTATGAATGCCGAATAGGCTCTGTGTAAATTGTACTTTCTTAAATTTAGATTAGAACATATAGGGTCGTAGAATAGTACAAATTATTGAAACAGTTAGTGTTGTCATTACTCTGCATCATTTTGGACATAAAGTTTTTGTTTCTCACTGGAATAATTTTGTATGAATACGCACATTTAGGTCTTGTCATTTGTCTGGGTTTTCACAGTAATTTGTGTTTAGCAACATCAGGGATTTAAAATAAAAATAAAATCTGTACAGGTATTTTGCTTGGGTGTTGAAGATTGTCGTTTTAGACTAAAAAAATCAAACAGAAAAGTCTATTGAATAAATTATGACTCGAGTGGACAAGTTTAAAAATCATTTAAAAAGTCAGTTGTCAATGTTCTCACATATGGAAACATTTTTCTCTTTCTTGCGGTGATGGTGAAATTATTAAACCCTCTCTTGAAACATGAGAGTTAGACTGTCCCGTGCCAACTTAGTTTAAGTCCAAACATCAAATTGACGACAAGACTGACTACTCAAATTGGATTCGTCAGAATACTCGTAGATTTAATCGGTGTACACGGTTTAGATATGAGAAGCATCGACTGTAAATATCGTAAGTAACTGTATTGTATTGTAATGTAATCTAAGTAGAAAGATCGGGAGAGCACAACCAGCTGAGGTGTTCACACTGCCAATGTATTGTAATGTATGTATCTACGATGGGACTGTATCGTATCGTATTAGTGTTGTAATTATCGTTCAATCGGATTCTATTCGCTAAGTAATTCTCTACTTTTCGGATCGAAGAGGCTTATGTACATATAGGAAGTAATACGGTACGGAGACGTTAGTATTATATTTATTCGTAAGTTTTGTTTTAGGACTGATTTGATAAATTGTATCTATTTTATCTGTATAGTAGCAAAATACGGTTAATTATGTACGTGTGGTTGAATTACAGTAAGCCATTTCCTGGTAGGCTTAGGATGTTTAGAGGTAAGGATTGTATGTTCGTTTGCGCCGGATAATAGATTGTAATCGGTGAAATCTGTGAAATCGTCGAGGTTCCACAACAAGTTTCGTCTATTGTAAAATGCTTGACCGTTCACAGTTTGCGCACTCTAATTGCATGTCCGTTATTGTACTCATACCAAATAAGTGCGGTATTGTTGATTATATATTTATATAAAAATTACAATCTGTTACTGAGAGTCCTAACATAACTGACTGTTGTGAATATATATTAGTAAATGTTAAATAAAACATTGAGGTTGTAGTGTAGATAATGTTTGCCGTGCTGAGCATTTTACTGCGGAGAAACTTGTTTATGGAACTTGCTGCTACTGAAAGACCGGATCAGATTGTCACTGCCATTATACTGTACTGCCTAACTTTACGTTCACTGCCAATGTTTGTGTTGTACCTCCTCTCTAGAACTGGCCAACTATCAAGTTTTCACTTTCACATTCATTATCATTTTTACTTGTAACTTGTAACAATCAAATGTTTAACTTTAAACTTTAAATAATATTTTTCATATTAAAAAAAAAAAAAAAAAAACATCTAAACAGTTTAGTTTACTGTCACCTTTTGCAGTTGTTGGAAAACTTGAAGCTTGCCCAGTTCTCAGTGATTCTAGTGCCATGGGCAGATGTCAGCCGATATGCAATATTGTACACTCTTGGTCATTGTCATTACCTATTGATCTCTGCGGATGTTTCCGCACCTGACGACTTGTATTCTAATTTAGTTTGTAATTTATGTAATCTCCATAACGGTCAGCACCTGTTTCCGATCCCTATTGTATAATTTATTGTGTGCGATTGATTTCAATCCTTTTATTTTAATGATGTTAATTATATAGTATACATGATTTAAACCTTTTATATAACTATGTTAAATATAAATGATTGACATTGAACTGTCCTCTACCTTTTTTATTCGCCCGGCTCTGTTGTAGCTTAAGTCTTACAAAGGTGAAATACTCCATGGGTTTAGTGCTTTAAATGTCAGGGATATTTGGTAAAAGCCTTTGAGAGTAGTATGTTTTAGTTTAAAAGCTGTTCAATTTACAAGCAAATACATATTTTGGCCTTACCCCTGTAATTAAAAATGGGGTTAGTTAACAAATATACATTTTTACCAATAAATGTACATGTGTTCAGTGTCTTAAATCTTATGCAAAATTTCAAAGTGCGAGTTTCACCTATTGTCTTTTGTCACATTTGGGAAATTTATTCTTAAACTTATATTAGGCTTATTGTTCCGAGTTTTAAATACAATCCATGATATTTCATACCTTATGATACTGACAAATATTGTTTGTATCAGCTACTGTAAAGGGGAAAAAATAATCATACCATTTAATTTTTATTTTACTGTGTTTCAAATTAAAAAAGGGGTTTTAATCCACTGTTTGATTTCCAAATCAATGCTGTAGTAAATCTATTAATCATGCTGGGTTTTTTATTTTATTTTTCAGTTAAGATTTTGGGTCTGCAAGTTATTGTCAGAATTTCAAAAATCAGATGTAGGTTACTTCAAAAAAGATTATAAAAGTAAATTGCGTTCCTTGTTGAAAATAATATGGTTTTGTACCCACCAAAGAACTCATCATATTTTTACAATTATCAGATCCACCTTTCTAATTACCTATATTAAAATTGTGCACCATATTTTTTATGTAATATTTATATATTATTGAAATAATAATAATCCAGTAGTACAAATTCAAATCCCAAAGTTTTGTTAATCACTAAACTAATTCAAATTGGAGTTTTAGTTTGGAAACATAATTCTTCAAAGAAAAGGGAGAGCCTAAATATGTGGGTCTTGACAAACCTAGGTTTTAATTTGTTTCATAACAGTAAGATATTCCCACTCCAATAAAATATTACCAGAGTTGTAGGTCACTCTTTTAGACCAATCTATTGCCTATTGCTCGTTGTGTATCAAATCTTTGAATTCTTTTTGAATAAATTATTCCCAAGTGCTCTTATTTTGATTTATTTTACTTCAAAATTATACATTTAAAAGTAATAAACAGCACCATTAATTCTCAATTAAAAACGAATACATTTTTAATTGCTGAATCTTAAATTTGAATGTGATTTAGGAGGAATATTCAAAATTTGTGAAAAATTGTCAAGACATTTTTATGCTTGGTTAGTTGTAAAATAAAATTGATCAATTTAAACGTTATGTTGTATAAGCTAAATATAGCCATGACATTGCCGTTTCATTTTTTATGTCAAATTAATATCCTATGTTGCTGTGTAAAAAAAAATATATATGACATTAAAATGTTTCTAACGTCAGTCATGAAGACCCATTGACGCTAACTCGTGTGTGTAGCCGTCCCTGTTTTTTTTTTTTTTTTCAGTGGGGTGGATTTACTGCTAATCTAATTGATTAGTTCTGATGAATCTAACCTACTAGACGTCTAGTGCTAGTGACGTCATATGCTTATAGTAGCAACTGGCCTGTTTAGCCGTCAGTGGCATGGTAACTCAGTTGGCTAAGGCGTTGCATTGGGGTCTTTCTAGATGTGTGGGTTTGAATCCCATAATGGGGTTGTTGTGAAGGTCCGGTGTCCAGCTTTGGTGGAAATTGACAGCATTAGTGAGTTTAAATAACTGTTTTGCTTCTTATTATATTGGTATAGAGGAGGAGGGACACAGATTTAGCTTTTTGGCTTTTATTTCGGTTAAACATGGCCATCGTGTTGAAATACACATATGATAAAATACATATAGGGACGTAACATAAAACAAATTATTAATAGAGAAAAACAAATAATTTGGCGTCAATGGGTCCTGATGAAAGGATATTACCATGCAAATTATGTTTTCTTACATGTTCAATTGTCAAATATGGCTCAGGAACTGAATTTACGTTTGCTAATAATTTATTTGAAATTAAAAGGATGTCTTCAACTGAAGAAATAAGTTTTCCTGCTATGAAGCTACAAGAAATTATTTATTATTTGGGAAAACACTTTAAAAATGTCTGACAATATCATGATTATATGACCCAAAAACACTTGCCACCACTTGGTTTGTTATCATGGACGTTTCATCCTGGTTTTGTTTACATTTATTTCCTTTTCATGAAATGAGTATACCTCATAAAGATAATCAGTGTATAGACAGTAAGTTGTTACTAACATACGATAACTGGAGACCAATACCGTTTAGAATACAGTTAATATTTTTTACTGTGTAAAACCTTTATTGATGAGTTTAATTTTATCTGCCTATGCAGTTGATTTACTTAATTTCTTTAGATCTTTTGTTCGCTAAGTTCTGTTTACAGTTCCCGTCCCAATTTTCATTACGATTTCCATCGGAATTGTTTATTTGGATCTCTATATTGTTTTTATTATTTGTGTGTTATTTAATTATTAATGTATATATTTATAAATAATAATTTTATTTTTAGTAAGTAGTCATAAATTGTGACACAATTTCAATGTATCAAGATTTAAATAAATTATCTACATTACAAGAACTAGTTAAAAGTTATTTCCTTTGGGAAAAATTTAAACAAATTCCTCTTCTCCAAAATATTTTAAATATAGCTAATAAGTATTATGCCTGCAGTACACTTGTGCCGAATATATGTGAACAAAGACGAGCGCAATAGTGTACTTGGTGTGCTCATGTATATTTGGGGTAGTTTGCATCACCAACATTTTTGTACGGTTGCGTTCACTTTTTTGGTGGTCTCCTATCATGTATCAAAGGAGACAAACTAGAACGAATGCTGAGCGCAGAAGGGCACAAACATATAGCCAGTACACCCTCGCTGTCATTCGTTGTCACGGACGCTATCCGTCTACAATATTCACTGAAGTGGCTGTGTAGTTAAAGTTACTTTTAATTGGTGCTATTTAATTATTTACTACCTACTAGATCTTAGAGATGCACTATACAAAGCACGAATACTTGAACAGACATGGTATGGATCACTATCATAAACAATTTATGTTACTGGCCCAAAAGTAAACATTATTTAACACTAGCAACAGAGCCCGTTGTGGTTAGATACAACGGTCTCTAGTAAAATAATGGTTGGGAAAGCTATACACCACTTTCCTCACTAATATTAATCGTACAGATTAAGCACATAACATTAGAATCGCATACTTAACATAACACTACCACGCACAGATACACTCAGCTGTCCTCGTCCCAAAACCAACAAGCGGCTGGTAGCTCTAGCATAAGCAATGTGCATAACATACCCATATTGCAGGTTTACGAACAAATTACTGTGTGTATTTTAAAATGTTAACCATCTATTTTATTTCTACACAACATTACAAAGAACCTAAAAACCAGATAAAACAGTAGGAATATTCATAAAAATTACATTCAGCTGTTCGATAATTGATTATCTATTAGCGGAGTATGTTTGTTCCTTCATTTCACTTGGAACTCAGTCAATATTTTATACTTACAGTGAGAGTCCAATAGTGAACTAACGAGTTACCATTCATCTTTTTACAAGTTTGGCTTTTTTGCACTAACTGCGGATGTATTCGGACAATGAGATTGAAATGGTGACTTTGATTTCTTTAGGGCTATTTGAACAATATGTTTATATTGCTGTATGGTTTTGTAAATGAAGCTTATATGCTTCTCAAAATTATTCTTGGCCACTGGGTCCTCAACTTTATGTTTGCGGCACATCTGCAAGTACAAACTCCAGGTGGCGTCTCGGACCTGAGAACAAATATAAACAAAAGTTATTTTTTTGAATTTAACTCATGTGAAACACTGAAGGTCAAACACAATCAAATAATACAGAAAATTTGTATTTACCTTTTGAGCTTTACAGACTATAGCTCAGACTCTACTATCTTATCCAAACTTCTACTTACAATTTATTATCGATGCGAGGACAGCTTGTGCTGCATCCTGGCAGTCAAGTTTACAACTACAGTACACGAAGGCTGTTGGTTGACCAGTGTTGTTAAACTACTTAAGCTTGGGCCATAAATAACACTAGTGAGCCTGTGTTGCCAGGGTTCTTTATCAACAGTGTCACACATTCACACCTAGCTTGTATCACAAAAATAATGTTTTAAACCATTTTGTAGAGCTAAAAAAAAAATTATTTTGTATATTGAAGCATTCTTGTGTTCCTAACGGTTACGGAGATAATTAAAAAAATTGTAAATTTAAAATTCCTATGTTATTCTTATGGAGAATAAATAAACTGTTGTAGTTTGCTTGTTTATCATATATTTTAATCAAATTTGGCAATTTTATTTATTTCATAGTTCATACTATGCTATCAACATTTCAATTAAAAAAAAACACTAATACCTTCCATGTAGCAGCAAACCTAATTACTCACTAAAATTAATGTTAATTATTTAAATAGGAAATAAGTGTAAGTCTGACAGTTTTAAGGGAATATTTTTGTAGAAATGCAACCAGGTAAATGGAAATTCACTTAGTCTGCAGGTTTGTTGCGGCGGAGGTATTTAGTCTGTAATGTGTATGTTAAATCTATTTTATATGGCCCGTTATACAAACCAAAACCCTTTTAACTGTAATCAGATGTTGTTGCTAATATTCTCATAATCATAAATCTTAGAATCTCTCGGGAGCAGAACCTGTACCTCTTAAACCTCTGCTCTTTGAACAAACTGTCAACTTCAAGTGTTTGCAGCTGACTCCAATTGATATATTATTTACATTCTTTCAAAATTTAAACATTGCATCTTTGGAAGTCCATGGGGCGTAGCCCAAGGGAAATATGAAAATTAAATTGTTTGATATTGCATTGTCATCCATTTGTGAGCTATGTTTCAAGTCTCTAGTTCATCGGGAAGTTAGTTTCAAATAAATTGCAAAATTTATACTGAACAGACAAGAAAGCGAGCTAATAAAAACGTTACGTGTTGCAAAGTTGCGTTACGTAGCAAAGTATTGTAGCGCAAAAAATATTAAAACTACATTTGAAAAACATAAAAACTTATAAGATTGTCTTAGTTTACTTTTTTAGCAACACAAAAGTATTTTACAGAACTTTTTGTTATTGCTATGATTATTTGCAATAGTAATTTGTTGTAATAATATAACTAAAAAAAATAATTCTCTTAATACCTAAATAAAGGTTAACTCATATTGGCTGGCTGAATAAATGTACTGTATTATCGAGTGCCAAGTTGAAACTAAATAAAAATTACAAAAATCTGCTAAATTAAGTAGGTTTGAACATACCATTTGTATTTCAAGAGACTTTTCAGCAGTGAATGTTTTGATGGTTGTGACCAAAGTATCCCAGTACAGAAGGTTGTCACTTGCAGCTTTAGCCTTCACTCGTACCTTCGCTAGCCGATTGACGAGCCCGTTAATGTCGTTACATTTTTCCTAAAATATAAATACACCAATTCAATGTCAACCTTGCAATACATACAACCTAATATTGCAATTTTTTTTTATGGTAATACTGTATGACATAATGTTAATGTTATGATTGCTAATAAATAAATGAGTAGGATCTTATATCCAATAGTCAATCGATCTTGATCTTATCCACATTAGGCTCTAAAGTTTGATTTTATCAGTCCTAGATTATTGGTCAATCTTCACAAGAGACAAAATTCTATTTTGTTCAACTGATTATGTGTTTTAGATGATAGAAGTAGTATAGATTGAAACATGTAAAAACTCTATATGTATAAAACATATTGTGGTGTCGTCCAGAGGGAGGACCCCCAAACCCCACGGTAGCCCCCTCCTTGACAAGGTCCTAGAACCAAACTTCACACAAACTATCCTTGAATAAAGCCTGTTAATGCCTGAAAGTTTCATTACAATCTGTCGAGCGGTTTCGCAGTCCATAGGGTACATACATACAATACACATGCTTCCTCTTTTATAGATATAGATGGATTACCATATGCAGGTATTTACACACATTTTCAACATGTATCAGCAATTAAGAGGCTATAAATAAATTAGATTGCAATGTTTTGGTGTATACTGTTTGAAGATGTGTAAAATGAAATTTGAATAGACAACTTTGCCATTGTCATAATGTTAACGTCTTGAATAGTTGTTGAACATCACACTTAAGTCTTAAAATGACTTCTAAATAATCCCGAACTCTGTGCATATCACGTTGATGAATTACCTCAGTCAAGTCATCAATGTCGTTTCTGGACTGTATCATAAACTGCAAATCTTCCTCTACAGTTTTCTCCAACTGAGTTTGCATATTCCGCAACACTCTGTATCTCTCTAATATATCGTTGACGGTGTTGAACTCACTGTTGTGATCCACTACGTATTGCAAGTACTCCTGAAATCAATTGCAACCAAATTAGTTTACTCTTGGTAAGATATAATGTTTTAATTTGTTCAATTGTTTCTATGCGTAACATTGGCTATATAATCAATCTACTTTAAGGACCAAGTCAAAAGTACTATGTGACAAAAATATATGTTATGGGTCCCTGGAAGCATTGTAATTCAATTTTAAAAACTATAAATACATTTTTTTACTTTTTAGTCTATAGTTACAAATGAATTTAAAGGTAGTTTTTGTTTTCAAACCCATTTGAGATATGGGTATGGACCGCCTTCCCTGAAAACGTATTTCAGTACATACTATGTACATTATTGATTATTAAACCTCGTCTAAAAATGCAACTGTCGTCCAAACTAAAGACAAAATGCTATATTGATTTTCTACTTATATTAAAATTGCTTGACTCATGAATCAATCCTGCATGGATGTTTGAAGAGCCTCCCTAATCCTGATGAAGTAGCTCTAACTTAGATTGCAGAGCTAGATTTGGCTTTCTAACATGACAACATGTTTATGTAAGTCATATTCACTAATCACTAGTTTTCGAGAATTGACATAGACTACTAACTTGGTCTTGGAGTCTAAAACTACTGGTAAAAACACTGCATATTTTAAAACACTGTTTTGTACTACTAAATGTCGTTGTTTTACCTACTGTACCTCAAATATCCTATACTGGTTCAAATATGCTTCCATTTTGCTTTTGACTGCCCCGAGTTCTTGGACTTCCTGTCTTACACTCTGTAGCTGCTCTAATAATTTGCCCTGCAATTTATTTTCATCTTCCAATTTTTTTTTGGCTCGATTCTTTTTGTCTTCACTTTCCTGTTTTACAAAAATAACGGCATAAACTCTGACATAGTGGTTTAATATTTTTCCGTTTATGTTAGATCAATTTCCATCAATCACCTGTCTAAAAAAAATAAATTTGAAAAATACACTTTTTGAATATTTAGTTAGAAATTTCGACCGAAAAAAAGCAAACTAATTAATTGTTGATAGGATGGATATGCATAACTATTATAAATTGTAGAACAAAAACTATTATCTACAGGGGCGGCTCCAGGAATAGTTTTTTGGTTAGGCCTGACAAGGATCAAGGAGTAGGTAGTTTAATCCTTGGACAAGAGGTTTGAGGGGCTTCCCCGCAAAAAGGGGGGGATTTTAAAATTTGAATGCAGAGTAATAAGTTTTAAATGCTTTTCCCTTTATTTACATATCATTACATTTCTTTATCTATATCTATTGTAAGAAAGGGGATAACTTCACACATTGCTTTGTGTAGTTCTGAAGGACGCGTTGCAGAAAGTCAACAGTCCCGGAAGGTCAAATAATTTATACCTGTGCCGCTAGGTCAAAGACTACAATGTTTGCAGTGTCTGTAGATCAAAAATCCCAGTAAGTCAAATAGTACAGTCCGGGCTAAAAACGTAGTCTATGTTAAAGCAATTGACTTATTGGGAATTTGACCTAATGCAACAGCAGTTTTAATATAACGAAATAAGATAAAATATAAGTTCAGTTTCGCTGAGTCAACAGTGCCGGAAGGTCAAAAGTATAATCTGTTAAAAACAACGATAGTCCTCTCGACGCACAACTTCAATAATTTCGTGTTTTGGTGTACTTAAAGTTGTGCTAAAATTTTGAAATTTGGCACAAAGCTTTTTGGTTAGTCCTACTCGATGACTATTTTGTTGGAACTTTAAACTATTTACCGATCTAATTAATAAAAATTGATTTGTATGGTGAAATAGTTTTAAATCGTGATTTCTAACATGAAAAAGTTAGCATGCGAGATTTTTTTTTTGTGTTTGGGTTAGAGAGGTTTTGTCTGTGGCAAAGTTGTAGCCAAAAGTGTGATGCGTAAAATATATTTTTTTAATTTTTTACAATCAGTGGTTCAGTAGATAACTTGGGTTGAAGAGGACGGCAAATTTAGCATTTTGCAACGCATGGAAAGAACTACATCGTACGATGCGACTGCTGAGTGGACTTTTAAATTATAGTTCTAAGGACAAGAAAAACATGAATATACAGATCACCAGTACATTCATATTATTTATAAAACATCTTTCTTTATTACCAGCTTACATTTTTCACTTATAAGAATACATTATAAACAGGGTGTTAAAATAAGCGGGGAGATACTTTACCTAGTAATTCCTTGGGTCAAAATAAACAGAAAATCAAGGCTAACGTTTTTTCCAAAATCATTTTGTTAACCAGATATCCACCATTTTGTATTTTTTACATACAAATATTTATCTTTGCACTTTTCCAACCGATGTTTATGAAACTTGGTATGTATGTTAAGGTAGGAGAGACGCATGTTATAAACAAAGATTCATCTCGATTCACACTAAAATTTCAAAATTTAACACTTAACTACACTACACCACAATATTTACGTATCAACATAAATCTTTAACAAAATAAAACGTTAACATTTTTAAAATCCAAAGTAAATCAATATAATATTTCTTTTTTGAAAAATATATTTAAAAAAGGCGATGGTAAAATAACAACAGGCGAGTTTCGATCTGGGTGTTTCAGGTTTGAATCTAGGAGGATTTAACATTAATTAACATTAATGTTTAATCCTCCTAGGTTTGAACTGATTGAGAGGAATACATGAAACCGAAGGGGGGAGGTAGCAACAAGTTCACTAGTATTTACTAGTGTCCAATTACAATTTGATGGATTTAACCAAAACCTTTTTTATTTCACTTATTTTCAGCGGTTAAATTTCAAACGATACGTTTTAGCGACTTATCATCATCATCGTTTGAGTTTGGGTTTGCGGCAATGTATTTTTATGAATAAAACCTTTAATTTGATACCAAACTTGACCTCTGCTGCTATTAATTGACTGTATGCACTATTAATTAACAGCTGTGTCTAAGGATTATGTCGGCCTTAGTCCTTAGTCACAAACAGGACAACAAGATCGCTCCACTCATCCCACACTCATCTCCATTCATACTTGGCTTAAAATGCATACATTTGTATGGTCGCCATTTCAAAGCAACATGGCTACATTATCGATCATAGATATAATAACCATTATGAATTAGCATTATTCGGTGTAGAGTTTGAGACCATTGTCTTCAAATTTCAACACAAAAAAAGTTTTGTTAATAAATAGTTTAGTTTGTTCGTATTTTTCCGCCTACAGCCCACTCATCACACACTCATCTCCATTCATACTTGGCTTAAAATGCATACATTTGTATGGTCGCCATTTCAAAAACAGGTAAAATAGTATTAAAATTATATAAAAATTTTGTCTTAGTCTTTGTGGTCCACCCCCCTTAAAGGATAAAAAAGTGATAATAGCTTAAGACAGTAGATATTTATGGCTATTATTGATATACCAAGTCTCACTACTTTATCTATATTGTTAAAAAATATAGCCAATCCAGGACTTTTCAACCATACTGTAACGCCAACACGAAATTTTTCCGTTGAACTCTTCCGCATTTCTTAGGCGATTTTGACCATTCATGTCCCATTAGAAAGAGCGTGTCACGTACATTTGCAAACCAACCTTACGTTTTAAAATCCCTTGGGCTCAGCCCCAGTGGCTCTTAAAGAACCCATGTTATGCCTATGAAGAACATATTGATTTATTTATATAAAGATCAGCTCAATTAATTGCTGTTATGCAATTCAAGGAAATAATGTAGGCTACATTATTAACATGTTACTGATTTTTTTGAAATACTATATTTACTATTTCTATTTGGGGTTGCTGGATAATTTAATCCATTTTACCAAACAATAAAAATTAATTAAGTAATATATTTCATGAGCAAAGGACCTATTGAAGTCCTCATCAACCAAAAGAATGCCTACTAAAGCAAATAAAATTGAGACGAACATGTAATGCACGAAATCAGGTGGTTCTTAAGTATGTGAAAAAATGTATCGCTATTCAAAAACAGACGGAAAACTTGTAAACATATTCGTGACAACGGGTGTAACATGTCTACATTATCATTGACAAACGTGGACAACCTTATACGAGTGTGAGTAAGTCCGAAACAACTCTAAAAAACAATAAACAATAAATTGCAAGAACCGTTGCTTATATCATTGGGTATACACGTATCTACTGACGTGTATACTCAATGCTTATATCGAACTGTTATATGTACATCGTGTGTATTTCCATTAGTTGTTCCATTTAGTTGTGTGTCCATTAGTATAATATTTTAGTTGACTCTTTTAAAGTCAGCGGAAATTGTGACTGTTATTACCCTTGAAATAATGTTTGTGTAGTACTTTGCAATCCTACCAATGCTTATAGAATCATACGATTACAATTTTCTGGTTAGAATATGTCGCATAGAGTGGTGACTACTGTATCTTTTTGGTTGTCTTGTAAAACAGGATCAACAGAGATTTTCCATCGACTTAAACAATACGATACTCCCAAATTGTTCTTTGCAATAACAAAATATCACACAGATTGATGAATATTTGTGTGTAAACTGTAAACCACATAAAGTACACCTGTATTCTATCTATTTTACCTTTTATTTTCCCAAGACTTTATAGAAAATCACGCATTACGTGATCAGTGAAGAAAGGCTGTATCCCACGTGTTTTATAGGTTAAGAAGACAAGGACGGTCCTAGACATATATTTGGGGGGGGGGGGTCACCGGGGGCCTGGGGGTATGGAATACCCCCCAAAAAGGAGGGGGTCCTGGGGTTTCCCCCGGGAAAAATATATAAATAAATAAATATAGGCTATAAGTTAAAGGGTGATCAACTCAAGGAGGCCACCATTGGGATATCGGAAACGTTAAGAATTATAGAAAACTTAAAATGGGGGACATTCCTTTATTATTGTGGTAGTTAAAAATATGATTTTAACACCATATATTTTATAATGTTTTCGGATAGAATAGGCAATTTAAACACTTTTTTATCCTTGACATTTTTTCGATAAACCCACTCGTTTAGGAGATACAGCATATGGAAAAATGACTTCCGGTGTACATTTTACATCATGTAGCTCCTAAACAAGTAAGTTTATAGCAAAAATGCGAAGAGTAAAAAAGTCTTACAATTGCATCCACATTCCAAAAAGACCATAAAATTCATTAAAAATATGAATTATATTATTTAACAAATGGCGGCAAACTTGAAAAGTGGAAAACTTGTTGTTTTTTAGTCTTTAAGGAATGTAGATGCAATTCTAAGACTAATTTACTTTTTGCAATTTTGCTCTAAACTTACTCGTTTAGGAGCTACATGATGTAAAATGTACAACGGAAGTAATTTTTCCATAGGCTGTACTCCTAAACGAGTGGGTTTATCGAAAAAAGGTCAAGGCTAAAAAAGTTTTTAAATTGCATATTCTATCCAAAAACATGATAAAAAAACTAAAATCATATTTTTAACTGCCACAAAAAATAAAGGAATGTCCCCCATTTAAAGTTTTCTCTAATTCTTACCGTTTCCGATTTCCCAATGGTGGCCTCCTTGAGTTGATCACCCTGTATATATGAATTTGAACGGATGGTGTTTTTGGCCTCTAGGGACCTCAAAACGAAAAATTTAATCGGTCCCGGGTCCAGGTGTTACCATAAGTACTACGGTAATAGCTTATTCCCTATATGGGAAATTCGCCAAAAACCTAATAGTTATATAGAACAATATTACATTCAACCAGCTGTTAGTAAAAAAAATTATATGGGACTAAAACAAATCAATGAGAACAAAGATTCCTTTAAAAAATCATTTGAACATCCTACTATTTTACTATGCATATTTAATTAATCTGCCATCCTCATACCTAAGAATTGAATGTATCAATGGTCAGCATTACACATAGTATAAATAGGTCAACTCTAAATATGCCTTTAAATTTGTTTCCAAATGCTGAATTTGTATCACTAATGCTGAATGTTTACAGCTGTTATGTTAAGCAAATTATATTGTACTAAAAGCTAGCTTAAGAAGGTTAGCGTCGTCTGCTAGACTTTTTAAAAATTAAAACTTAATTTCTAAAAAAACTGGGACCCTTAATTATAATTATGGCTTTGACATTCCCTAGTTCTCAAAATTATCTTTCTTTCAACACAAAAATAATGAAAATCCGTCGACTGGTTGATTCAGAATGTGAAAAACCCCCATTTACGTTTTAATAATATATATGATAGTTTGGACAGGTTTCAACCCTTCCGAGGCGTAATACATTTACACAGTTGATGTGTATACTACATTATATCTCATAAAATACTGTAGTTCTAAAATTAAATGGGTCTCCTTTTACAAACGTATATAATAACCATAAATTTTCAGATCGTCCTTGCGTGTATTTCATGCCACAAATTTTGACGAAAGGTTTTTCATTACATACATAAACTATACCTATTTACAGTGTTGACCAAACAGTTGGCAAGAAGCATTAATAGATAAGCTATGTACCAAATATGATAATTTTAGCTCAATTCTAATTATGACAAAACACGAAGTAACTAAAAGCGAGTTTTGTTGGTGTAGTAAGCGTTGCAGGAGGTCTACTTTACACTGAATCGACGTTCACTTTTATTGCTTTTGATCTTCCGGCACTGTTGACTCAGCGAAACTGAACTTGTATTTTATCGTATTTCGTTATATTAAAACTGCTGTTGCATTAGGTCAAATTCCCGATAAGTCAATTGCTTTAACGTAGACCACGTTTTTAGCTCGGACTGTATTATTTGACTTACTGGGACTTTTGATCTACAGACACTGCAAACATTGTAGTTTTTGACCTAGCGGCACAGGTATAAATTATTTGATCTTCCGGGACTGTTGACTTCCAGCAACATTCCCGTTCTGAAGGGCTAGAGGGTGGCATGGGACTCGCACTATAAAAGAGGAAGTATGTATGTATGTATGCATATACCCTATTTACTCCAAAACCGTCATGATTTGAAATAGTGCCACACTGTTTCCACAGAATGCAGCACAGAAAACTATTTTACATTTGGATAAGTCCATATATATTAAATCCCAATCGCAGCGCACCTGTCCGCTCAACAACGTTTAAATTCTTCACTATTAAATATGTAAACGTAAAAACTATTATCAAAGTATTATAAACAATAAAATGATGGCAATGCCTTAATATTGTTATCTTTTGTTCTATTCACACACAATCTAACATAAATTATTAAGTGAATAATAATCGTGCGTGCTATCTCAGGTACCTATTCACATGCCTCCCAATTTGTCATTAACCCACCACATTACTGTCATTAAAAGAAGAGGAACTCCAATAATACTACATGTGCAACTTAACTCCAGCCAGCCAAGCTGTGCAATGGAACAGACTAACGTTTTAGCCGTGACGATTAAAACAATTACACCAAACTTGAACGAATCAACAATCATCAGTGCTAAGTTTAAAGGAGAAATAGTCTTAATCCCAAGAATACTGATGATTTCATCCGAATTACCCTTTGAATTCTAGGATTCTAGGGACTACAATTTCCTTTGCGTCTTGCTTTAGCAATCACCATTATAAGGTACAAGGGCAATCCCTGACTATTGCCGGTTTAATTTTAGAAAATGCATGCTCTTCACACGGACAGCTGTATGTTGCGTGTTGGTGGTGGTATGGTAGGTATGCGTAAAAACTTATATATTTATACACCTAATGAAAAAACAAAAAAAAACATTGTTTTTCCACTGGCAATTAAGTTAAATATTCTATTTTTGTTTTTGGTATAGATTTTTATAATTTATTGTAAAGAACAAATTACCATTTAAAATAATAGTTCTTAGCCGGCAACGCACAACGGGTAACTGCTAGCAAATCTTTCTTTCTTTATAATTTTTGAAATATCTACAAAAGTATAGGGTAGGCTCGGGCCTACCATCTGGAGCTGCCCCTGATTATCTACAAATTATCTTTTGAGTAAAACACATCAAAAAATCTTATCTTAAAAGCATTAGTTTCTTTAAATACTACAATAGGTAACAAAAAAACACTAAAAAATAATAACACTCACCAGTTTATCAAATTCCAAATGTAATGTTTTTAACATTTGTTTTTTATCATTAAGCTCCTTCCATTTCTCATTGATTTCCTGTCTAACGCTATCTGATTCATTAATTTGATTTTTCAATTTGTCCTGACAGCTTTTGAATTCCAAATTTGCTTCTATGAGGGTTGAGAGTGGGGTTGGTCTAGGTACATCCCAGTCTTGAACAAATCTGTACAGGACAGAATACCGTACTCATGTGATATTTTAAGTTTTTTATAAATACAGTAAAATCTCATTAACTCGACAGTCAACAGGCGTTCGACTTCTCAAGAACGGCTGAAGTTTTATCTAAAATCCTTTAATCCTCAATATGTACAAATACTACTCGTGTAAGTAATTATAAATTTATATGTAAAAATTTGTGAGTTATGTATTCATTTTTATTACCCATTAAAAAATTTCAATGTTCTGAGCGAATCAATATCCCCCAAACCCGACAACCTCAGTGTCCACAATGGTATGGTGTTAGTGAGGTTTTACTTTAACTTTAAAAACAGTTTTTGAAACACAATGCAACACTCAATGACCCGTTATGGTTAAACATAATAATAAATGCGCTATTACTGTAATTATTTATAGCGTGGTTTGAGAGAAAAAATTTAATATCTGGTAATTTAATTAACTTACTTTATCTGATCTTGTCCTCTGATCATTTTGCAAGTGTTAGACTTAGTTGATTTGTTGCCTTGGCAACCCTCTTTCAGCTAGAAGGAGTTGTTGGGAAGATCATCAATAAAATGTTATCAATACAACGGAGACATTTTGATCGTACAACATTGCTCAGTTGTCAATGTTTGTTTGGAAAATTTCAAAATTTACCTTATACAGTATTTAGTACATAATCTTTAAAGAGTTAGGAATGGTTCTACACTTGCTATGTGCTTTGTGTTCCTTCAGAAGTCAAAAATATTGATTCATTAAACTGTGATACATATGTCAGAACACACAATAACTGTTGTAAAAATGTGTAAAAATCACTTAATTGTGATAACCGGTAACTATAAGGACTTCCGGTCAATTTAAAATTTAAATATGATATATTTAAATTTCTATAACCCATCAATTACAATCATTCATTTTAATCATTACAATATGTTTTTTACTCAGGAACAATGCCCTAAGATATTGGTAGAGAGTTCCGGGACACCCTGCATATAAGAATGTGTAGTAATAAGAATGTAATAAGAATGTGAATGGATGATGTTTTACAAAAAAATAAATCGGTCCCAGGTCTAAGCCTTACTCTTAACACGAGACCTGCAATAGTAGCTCATTATGGGAAATTAAGAAAATGGGAAACCTTATTTTTATCCTTTACACCCCTTATAAAACACCCTGATCATGCTTGTTCGCAAACTCACTCACATATTGTACCAAACTTAATCAAAATCGGATGATATTTGTTATAATTATTAGGCTACCTAGTACCGGACATGTATAAATAATATACTAGGTAGGTGTATGAATTTGGCGGATGCTGTTTTTGACAGGCCACAGGCCGCGGCAATGTGGCAAACACTGTCAGCAGTGCTGTTTAGTTTGGAGGCAGCTAATGTGTATGTATTTTATAAGAATACGATGAAAGGTTGGTTACTCGGCTCTGGGTTATGGAAATACTCCATTTTCATTTTATATTGTTTTGGTTTAGAACAATATTTTAGCAAATTTTCCATATAGGGAATAAGCTATTACCGTAGTACTCATGGTAAGGCCGGTATTACACTATCATAGTTCTATGACATATTATATTATCAAATATATGATAATATGTTCTCTCAAGGAGAACATATTATCATAGTTCAAAACCATTATAATAGTTGGTACATTACACTGTAATAATTTTCATCAAAGACATATGATAATAGATATATGTCATAGAACTATGATAGTGTAATACGGGCCTAAGACCTGGACCCGGGAACGATTTATATTTTTGTTTTGAGGTCCCTAGCATGGCCACCTTTAACTACGGATCATAAACATAAACAAAATGACGTTGTTGGCCCGAATCCTAAGAGCATTGAACAAATGTTTGGTCGTTCCATTTGAGCAATGTTAAATCATGTTTATTTTCGGGCCAAAAACGTCATTTGTTTATGTTTATGATCCATACCGGTATTTTGCTATTAATCGTTTACTATATACGTAGCCATCTACGTAGTTTTACTATACAATTTTTATACATATACTCAACAGTTTTGACAAATTGGTTGATACCCCACCGATTGTTATTAGAAGCTGACAACAACTTCCGTTTTGTAAGCTGACCAATGGGAGTCTCTAAAGTTCTTTGGGCTCCTCCCTATTCACAGCTGTCAAATTGACATTTATTTTCCTAACCTCTCAATAAATAGAGTTTGTATGACGTATCTTTTTGTTGTCTTATCGTTTATTGAAAAATTTTACAGTACGTTGTATACCGTTTAGTTAAAAGAAAATCAGTGGGATTTTTAGTTCAATTAATATTAATTATTTATTCCTTAAATGTTAAGTGTTCAAAGTATACATTGGTGACCAGCTTATACTAGCCTTTAGAAATTCACAACATACATTGCGTGAATGAGAAGTTCGTTTGTTAAAATTTCAACTACTGTACTTATTTAGTTAGTTATGAGTTGAAGTTGAGAACACATGAGCAACGTTGCACATTGATACAGTATTAACTTAATTGTTTTTGGGAAGACCTCAGTGAGCTATTTTTTAGAGAACTAACTTAACTTAAGTTATTTATTCCATATTGTCATTGCCATAGCTATTTAGGCCAAACTCAGTGATGTTTGTTTTAAAAAAGGTTTTGATTACATTTTACATTTAAGTTAATCAGTCATGGAAGAAGTCTCCCAAGAAAATGAACCAAATATACAGACAACAGATCAGCCTCCTGGAACTGGGTTAAAACTATCCGGAATATCCGAACTTACCGATATAGAAGCTATCAAGGACAGAATAGAACAACAAAAGGCAAATAAACTAAAAGCTGAGGTAAGTTAAGACCTTTTAAATTACTTAGGACTTAGCCTATAACTTATTACGTTTGTAGGCTATAGGTATTGATGAACATTGTGAAGAACAACAGGGCCGACACAAAGCCGCATCCATGGCATCATTGTCAAATACATTGTCAAACTGTCTTTGTGACAGTTAGAAATTTGTGGAATGTGTGGATGAAGAGAACCCCAAGAAAGAATAGAAAATCAAAGAGAATAAATAAGCAATGTTTTTATGCTATTGTTCTATCTTTATCTTATTTTTAGTGTTGCTATTATCTTTAAAAAGGCTATTAAAATTTAAAACTTTTTGATAAGTTACGGTATCAATAATTTGCCGACCTTAGGCCCTATTGTGTCTTAAAACACCACTTAGTAGTAGCCTATGACTAGCAGTAGGCCAATGACTAGCACTAGACTTTCTATTTTTCTGTTCTTTAGGCTATATGATTTATTGTTGTACACTGATCACGGACTTCGCATAGGAAACAACATAGGAATTATCGTGGTTACGTCCTGCTATCTTGACAAATTCGTAATAATATGTCACAAATGAGAAGAATATTGTTGTGTAAAAATATTGTCGACCATAGATTTTAGTAGCTTAGTTATTTTCTAGTCTAAGTAAGTTGGGTAGCCTAGTAGCCTACTGTACTAACTTTAATCGAGTGATTATAGATCAGAACCTAACACAAAACCTGTGTTCTGTTCGTTGTTGTTAAGCACCTTTGGTTGGTGTAAGCCAGCAAAAAATCAAGCTTAACATTTTAATGGTAAACTGTTTGTTCAAGCAATTGGTTAGCACACTCTCAAGAATTAAGGCGAGAGAGAGGGCTCGTAGAATTGCTAAATCTGGAGAGAAGAAAACTGATGATGGCGGATCTAACTCCCCAGCTAAGAGAAGCGGGACTAACTCTTCCAGCACGCTTAAGGAGAAGAGCAATTTGCTTAAAAAGAAGCTCGAAGAAGACAGGTGAGGATAATTGTGTTCAAAGTAAAGGTAGAGAGTCACTGACACACCATTACAATAAATAGATACACAATAATTGCTTTTATGCTTTGGAGATTTCTTCATTTTGAAAAACTAAAATGGTTGGAAGAGAAAATCTTTTCAAGACCTACACTTATAGATTATCTTAAGTCTCCTAAGATTTACTTTCAAGCTGTATGGACATTACTTTTTGATGCTTGTTAGTTTTAAAAGAGTAATATATTTTGTTTGAAGAAAAATAGTTGCTGTGACCCGTGCTTCGCTACGGGGTGAGAATACAAAAGAATAATGCAGTTTTTTTTATCTACTATAAGAAACAGTTGCAACACACTTACCATTGAGGTAAGGCTCAATCATACAAAATCCTAGGACTGCCCTGACCTGATTTATGCTAAAATGCTCGGTGCCCTGGCAATTTTTGCCATTTTGCAGAGGTTTTTTTAACAGTTTGCAGTGCCTAAAGTACATTTAAGTATATTGATAACCTAGTCATAATCATACTTGTTTTGTTCAGAAAAGAAAGGAGATTAAGAATAAAATATTAGAAATCCCTGTCGGTGGATTTTTGTAAAATGAAAAAAAAATTCAAACTCTTGGAATAATTTTTAAAATCAGAGGCCGTGAATTTTTTAACAAAATTTTTACAGGCAATCTAAGATATACGAAATGTAGGCAATTTATTTCCCTACGTGTAAATGTGATTAATTTGTTGAAAATAAATTTTTTTACCAGAATTACGGGGGGAAATACGGAAAAATCAACAAATTTGTGACATAAGAATCTGAACATTTGAAATAAAGAATATTATCAGAATTTATATACAAAAGTTATGTATAAAGTTATAAAGTATAAAGTTATATACAAAAGGCAGTCCCATAGTTAATGCTTAAATGACGATCTTTTATAACTTATATGAGATGACGAATAAATTATTTGTTCGAAAGTAGTCAGAATCAAAACTAATACATTTTTGCTGTAAAGTCATGGACAATATCCAAGAATAAAAAGTTTAACTAAGGGTGTTGACTGTTGTATCAATAGTCAAATCTAAGAGGAAAACTAAACAGACAAAAAATATCATGTACGAGCTAACAACTGACTTAAATTCAACAGGCCTATTTTAAAATAAATGTAATAATAAACAAACCTTTAATGAAGGTATGTGCCTGTCTCAGAAGGTTTGTAAAAAAACTGGTATTTTTCAGGGTGTTTCATATCAAGACCTGTCATTTAAGTAGTGGTATGCGGTTCATAGGCTTACGGTTTTCTCAAAAGTTTGTGATCCTTATTAGCTCATTGTTTAGATGTCTGCATAACTACATATTCATTTAAAAGACTAAATTGATTTAAATTCTAATGCCGTTCATATTTATTTAAAATCTTTTATTATTTTCACTAAATATATTGAGCTCCAAAGACTAATAAATCAGACAAAACAGTAGGCCTAACATAACTTAGTAAAAACTTCTACTTTCCATGCCGTATCTATAAGAGTATAACTCAATAAAAAGAGCTTATTTCAATAGCCTACTAACATATGACTTAAGAGTAAATTTTGAACTCCTACGATTGAGCTTCTGGTTGACAAGCATCGCTAGTGCGAGAGACTGTTAGAGCCGAGCAGTCTAAGGTGTTGTATTTCAAGCCAGAAGACAGAACCTTAAAATCAGGGTTCCAATCCGGTCTTGGTTAGGTCAAGTGTACAACTCACCTAGGTATCTAAACTATATTAGGGATGGCTCTACCAGAAGTTGACAGAATGGATAGATTCCTTGTGAGATACACCTTTAACAAGTTCGTTGCGGCCCATCAATTGCGGGTGTATCCCCGGTGCGGCGTAGCGTCGATCAAACCCGATTGCCAGGCGATTGGCTTACAAATTTTGGTCTAACGAATAGCAAGTAACGTTTGGTGATGTACTGCGTTACGATGAGAGTCGACGTAGTTCGCTAAAACACCTACAGTTAATAGCTCTACTTGGAACTTAGCCGGTCCCATTGTATTGCTAATTGGGGGAAGAAGACGGGACAACAAGTTGATTTCTAAGCTTGCCAGACGGGGAAATTTACTACCAACCAAACTACAACAAAAAGAATGTCACACACTACATGCTAACGTGGTATAGGTCTGCCTTCGACCGATGCCTGGCTTGCATTGAGGCAAGTAGGCCTATGTGGGTTTGGGGTCAGTACTGACCCATCTTGAGGGTTTTAGCGAATGTGTTAATATCAATTCAGGTTTTTTTCTACTTTATGCTTATCATTACTGTTAGCACTTCATAACATAAAAATAGGCATTTTAATCACTAACTGATCCGTATTCAAAGGTTTAAAACAACCTAGTGACATACTCAGAGTTTATATGAAATGTAATGTGTTATACAACAATTCACTATAATTTACTGTTTCAGGGCGAGGTTTGAGAACAAGAAGGGCCAAGAAGATCTGGGGCGAGTGAGTGAGATAGTAGAACATATCAGAGTGCAGCTTGAAGATCAGGACAAGACTATACAGCAGATGCACAGCAACTTTACCTCTCCAAAACCTCAACATGTTGAAGAGGTATGTTGGGGCTGTCAAAGGAAGTTAAAGTTAAATTAAACCACAAGAAGATGGTTTGATACAAATTGTAACACCTTCCATGGAAATAGTAGACACTGTTCATAATTGCTTTTGCATTGCAGTGGAGACATTTAACTTTTAGAGGTTATGGATTGGGGAACGGCAGTCTGGCATTTAGCAGTGCTGTGAGTTTTATTCACTTTGCCATATGATGGACACCACCAATGGATTGCTAAGTTTTTTAATATGAAAAAGATTTAATGTCTTAGTGCCTTTGATCACAAGAAACGTGGGTACAGAGGAAACTTGAGCACTATGTGAAAATTCCCATCACACAGGGCACAGGGTCTTCCTTCAAATTGTGAGCGTTGTAGTACATGAGTCAAAGTCAAAGTCAAAGTCAAAGTCTTTATTGCCATTAAATACAACAAGTACAATAGGCTCGTCATTTAAATAAACAAAACATGCAAAATCAAATCCATCAACAAACAATTCAAATAAATAAGCTCTAGTCAAAAAACAAAACAAGAAAACATGCACAAACCATGCAGGTGTACCTGAAAATGACTCAAACGGTTACCACCAGATTGCTTTTGTCACAGTTGAAAAATTCGGATATGTGGTAAAAAGGATTTAGAGTGAGCCAATTTTTTACAAAAGTGGAGAATTTTTTTGTGTGTAAATTTCTTGTACATTGGGGCAATTTGTTGAAAAGTTTAATGCCTGAAACAGGAAAAGAACACAATGATTTTTGAAGCCTATTTCTAGGTACAAAGATATCAAACTTATTTCTAGTATCATAACTATGTACATCGCTATTTACATGAAGAGAGTCTTGTCTGGCTTTTATTGCCACCAGACACTGAAAAATGTACTCATTTACAATTGTCAAAATTTCATTTTCAACAAACAAAGGTCTGCAATGGTCAAGGTACCCAGCATTTGAAATTACTCTAACAGCTCTCTTTTGAATTAAAAGAATTCTCTGAGTACCAGTGGCATGGCCCCACAGCCTGGTTCCATAGGCTAAAATAGACTGAAAGAAAGCATGGTAGGCCTGCCTAACTGTTGGCCTTGGAAGCTCAGACATTAGCTTTCTAAGCAGGAACAACACTCTGCTAAGTCTCTTACACAGGACATCTATGTGACCTTCCCAAGACAGCTTGGGATCCAGTACAAAACCTAACAGTTTTACAGACAAACTTTCAGGTACATTAGGCAAAAGGCTGAAAGTTATTTCCTGGGTTTTCAAATCATTAAGAGCTAATTTGTTTAAAATGAACCATTGCTGAGCCAAGGCCAAAGAGTCATGCACTGCTGACTGAGCCAGGAACCAGTTTTTATCAGAGGAAAATAAAGTTGTGTCGTCTGCAAATAGAATAATGTGACTATTAACATGGTAATGCAAATCATTAATGGCAATCAAAAATAAGAGGGGTCCCAAGATAGAGCCTTGGGGAACTCCATGGAGCACATCACCTTTCTCTGAAAAAGTCCCATTCCAACTAACAACTTGTTTCCTATTTGACAGGTAAGAGGAAACCACTTTGAGGGCAACATCTCCTAGACCATAGAATTTAAGTTTTACCAGAAGGGCATTGTGAGGAATGCAGTCAAAAGCACGTGACAAGTCTCAAAGAATTGCATGTGTTGACTTTTTGGACTCAAAAGACTTGATAATTTCACACACCAAGGACTCTACAGCTAATATTGTCGATTTGGCTTTCCTAAAGCCAAACTGTGAGGGAACTAGGAGATTGTTCTCCTCAAAGTAGGAATACATTTGAGAGAACATTACAGATTCCATAACTTTGGCAAAAACAGGTATGATAGACACAGGTCTGTAACTACTGTCGGGGAAATAAATATGTGCACTCGAGTTTGAGCCTAAATATCTCTGAGATTAATTATCCGATTTTGTTGAAACAAAAATTAAATGTAAGCTTGTTTAAATATATTTTACGTGGTAACAATTTAAAAATTTTCCGTTTACCAGAAAAATTTATATAGTTGAAAGATCCTAAAAAGTACCGGTTTTTAAGGAACTCTGCACTAACACTGAAGTTTAAAAATTAATTGTAAACAAACCACTGAGTCAATCTTTCTGAAATTTTTATGGCTTATTGGTAGGTTTATTGTTAACATTTCCATGCATTTTAAAATTTTTACTCACAAAAGTTTTTATGCTGCTGTTAGTTTTTAAAACCTATGCTAACATCGTTAATAAGACGCTAAAAATTTCGTTCAAAATACCATCGTGTTTGTCGTGACACAAGAAATAACACCAATATGATAGATTTATAATGCGAACAAAGGCGTTTTTTAAACAGATTTATATTTGTAAACAAAAATTTCTCCCGCGACTGGCAGCGGGCCGCCTGGTGTGCGTACGATATTTCCCAGCCGGGCGGGGGCGCGGCGAATCTGCGACGTTGCCGATGTGTATCTGGCCAGTGGCCACCACACTGACATTGCATCGGTATTAACTCACGGCAAACAACTGTGTATATCAATATTTAGTTTGAAATTTACATAAATTTACTAACAATATATTCTAATTAACTAGTCATGAAACAAATACATTATAATAAGTTAACTATGGTGGTATGAAAAATTAATTTTGTATTACAAGCAACAAGCCAACTGTTTTGTGTTGATTGAGCTAGTTAAAAAATTATAACAGCTAAACGCCAAGTAAATATTTTCCACCAGTATTTATTTTATGGTTTCTTTAATTTGCCACTTTTAAATATACAACTGAGAGTATAAATCGGAGCGGTCATCACCCTTTCCGGGAAGTGTTGCGTTCAGCTGGAATATCCGATGAGTAATGGAATGTAAACATTAGCTCCCACCTTTCTTGAACTATGGTCGCTATGAGAGATGACTAACCAAGCTAACCAGTTCGTCTTAGATTTTTACACCGGTCGGTAACATCTATTCGAAAATGGCTCCTCGCCGGAATTTTTTCGATGGTGAAATACAGATGATAGTTATTGCGATTTGTTTCTTTCATGCGGAAAAAGAAAAGTGCTGTGACAAACGTTATCCCGTGTATGATCATGTGGCCAATTGTTTTAACATCGGAACAAGGATAAATGTGGACCAATTTACCGTGGGAGCGATACGAAGGTACTTATATGATTTTTACGTGCAAAAAATGTTTCCAACGATCGAAAAATTAAGGCAGAAGCTAAATATTGATTTTCAAAGTTGTTTGCCGTGAGTGAATAGGCTGCCCATGCAATGTCAGTGTGGTGGCCACTGGCCAGGTACACATCGGCAACGTCGCAGATTCGCCGCGCTCCCGCCCGGCTGGGAAATATCGTACGCACACCAGGCGGCCCGCTGTCAGCCGCGGGAGAAATTTTTGTTTACAAATATAAATCTGTTTAAAAAACACCTTTGTTCGCATTATAAATCTATCATATTGGTGTTATTTCTTGTGTCACGACAAACACGATGGTATTTTGAACGAAATTTTTAGCGTCTTATTAACGATGTTAGCATAGGTTTTAAAAATTAACAGCAGCATAAAAACTATTGTGAGTAAAAATTTTAAAATGAATGGAAATGTTAACAATAAACCTACCAATAAGCCATAAAAATTTCAGAAAGATTGGCTCAGTGGTTTGTTTACAATTAATTTTTAAAGTTCAGTGTTAGTGCAGAGTTCCTTAAAAACCGGTACTTTTTAGGATCTTTCAACTATATAAATTTTTCTGGTAAACGGAAAATTTTTAAATTGTTACCACGTAAAATGTATTTAAACAAACTTACATTTAATTTTTGTTTCAACAAAATCTGATAATTCATCTCAGAGATATTAAGGCTCAAACTCGAGTGCACATATTTATTTCCCCGACAGTAGACAAACTTTCACGGGGACCTTTTTTATAAATTGGGACTGTTTTAGCTACTTTTAGGGCATCTGGGAAACAACCAGTTGCAAGACAGTTGTTTATCAGAATTGTAAGCTCAGGTGCAACTGTGTGTATAACTTGCTTAACAATATCTGTTGACAAATCATAAACATCCCTACTTTTAGAGGCTTTGAAGTTGTGAACAATCTTTACAATATCATTTGGTTTTGTGGGAGTGAAAGAGAAACTTGCGTTTACCCTGGGAATATTAACAGTAAAATTGGAATCTACAAAAGGTATATCAGGTATTTTCCCAACAATATCGTTGACACTTTGGATAAAAAATACATTAAAATCAGTTGCTGAGAACTTCGACTCCAAGTTCACTGTTGGTCGAGGTCTGCTGTGATTAATCAAACTCCAAGCTGCCTTACATGGATTGGATGAGCCTGTGATGAAAGCAGCGTTTGCAGAAATTTTTGCGCTTTTAATACCGTGGCGATACTCCCTGCGCAGACTTCTTACCAAGGGCAGTAACTCAGGCTGACTCGTGGACTGCTCATGGACCAGCATGATCCAGTTCTTCAGATGAGCTAAATCCTCATTATACCAATCAAACTTGCTAGGTGTAGCGTGCAATTTAGTTTTAGGCTGTGAGATTCTTTTTTTCTTTAGAGGAAAACAGAAATCAAAAATACATTTAAAACTATTTAGGAAAAACTCAAAACAGTCTTCGGGTGAAGAAAACATAGTGTGGGCCAAGTGTAAGCCACTAACAGCCCTTGACTGCAACAATTCAGTAAAATTTAGTACTGCATCGTCATTAAAAGACCTGAAATCAACAAACTTGTCTACAGAACAAAGACTATTTATATGTACACGGTGAAGGTTTATGTACATAAATACATGTTTGTGATCAGCCACCTGATCTCTGCTTACACCTGCTTTAAAATCAGTCTTACACATGTTAGTAAATATATTGTCTAGAGGAGCAACACCACGAGTGGCCTCGGATATCACACCGTACAAATCAAAGCTTCACAATAGGTTCTCAAAGTCCTTGGCATCACTGGGGAAATAGACAGGGTTCACATTATGATCGGTACCTAGGGTATTGAAGGCTAGGGTATTGAACTTTGCTCTAAAACCAGCTACTATTGCTGCTTTTAAGGTTAGTTTCAGTGACGTATAGTACCTTAAAGAATATTTATTACTAGAAACATTTAATATGCAGGCTGTAAAATTTGGACTCAAAAGACCATTTTCGAATTGAATTTACTATTATGTATGAAGGAATAAATAAAAACATTTTTATTCCATGTTACAGGTAACCCCTCCAGAGCCAGATCTCCCGCCCGAAGTGAAACAGAAAATAGCTGACTTGGAAATGAAGGTTCTAGATTTACAGGTAAACTTGATCAATTCAATAGGAAATTTCATTATTTAGGTTTATATTGTGTGTAACTAAATTTTTGTTTTATAATTTTTAAAATGTTTTTAAGAAGTATGATACATATTATTAAAATTAAATTTTAATTCCCACAAAATTAAAACCAATTATAATTAGCAACACTTGACTAAGTCTACTATGTACCTAAGTTCTTGGATATTACAGTGCATGTCTGATCACTAAATCGTTTCAATAATTTACCAAGCTCTTGAAGATCATCATCATCAGGTGTGTTTGTTCCATTGAAAAATCTTCTCACTATAACATCGTCAGGCATGATAAAACATGTACATCATGAACACAACTTGATGTCCAAGAATGATGTATATGATGTACTTCTTGTACATACTTGATGTACATCAAACACACTTTGGTATCTTGCTAGCGTAGTGGTTATTGTCTTGGACTTTTGGTGTGTGGTGAGTTTGATCCCAGCATATACGCAACAATTTGAGGAATCTGGATTGCTTACCAAAAACTGAACAAAATTGCTTGAATAACAATAGCAATTGAATAAGAAAAAAAACAAGCACACACACACTTTATGAACTTTAGTAAAAGAGGTACCGGTAATAAGAATATCCTACAATTGTTGTAGTAAAAGAGAATACACTCAGTGGTATAGGTACAAGGGCGGGGGAACCAGGGGAGATTAATCCCCTCCCCCACATATAATAGGTGGAAAAGTTCTTTCTGAGTTTTCTTCAGTTTTTAAATTCTGTTACTGATATATATTTTTTGAAATAAAATAGGTAATGATATCATCTTGATTTTGGTACCTTTATTATATAAGCTTGTTTTTTTGTAGGATACTTTCAATATCGATAACTGGTGCCAGATAAACTGCAATACGGTTGGCAGTGGTACGGTATTTACGTGCCAAACACACTTGAGTCACCGAACAGTCAACAGCCTATCCCATCCTCCTTCTACTACCTCTTGACCCTTCACCCACACCACGCTTGATCTGACCTTCATCACATGTAGTGTCAGTCATCGGGTGTTAATTATGTGCACGTGTTGGTTTCTTTTCTACAAATCAACTTTCACTGAACGTAATTTAGGGTTTCACGGGTTCAATCCAAAACTTGAGGAATATTCTGATTTTTTATTGTTTCCATTATTAGATTCCTTTGTTCGCAACTCTGGATATGTGTTGAAACATACTAGACCCTTAACCTAACCTAACTAGGTTCGGCCCATGGTTGCCCAAGCAGTCACAAATTCTGGAGGTAACTAAACATGACAAAAATTACATAAAATACAATGTCAGTCAAAAATATTTACATAAATCACAGTCTGACCTTATAAGTAGCCTACTTGACTTTAATACTACCAAAAGCCTATGAATCAAATTTTTAATAGCCTCTAAATTAAATATCAATTTTAAATAACAAAAAATGAGGAAAACGCACATGAAATGGTTAGGCCTACAAAATCAATAAAGAATTCAAACTAAAAAGTTAGTTAAACAGTTCAAAACAAACAGTTTTAACAATCAATCGTAAGTTATGAGGATGGTGGCTAAAAACAGTACAAGTTTCAAATACAGTACAAGTGAATTAAACTTATTTTAAACAGACAAATAATACAACAATCACAAGCTAAATTTTGCTAATGCACTAGGCACAAATTTAGAATTAAAAGGCCGAAAAGGAAATTTAGAAAATAACCAATTGTGCTCACAAAGCAGGTCCAGAGGGCTGAATTAAATGAATAAGCTAGGCCGAGTAACAAACATGAAAACATTTAGGCAGTTTAAGGGGAATGTTTTCTGGGTTCTCCCACCATTTCTCTAGTCTAATGTATTAATCAGCTGTCAGTTGTTGTTTCAAAGTTAGGGTGAGTTAGGATTCAAACGGCCTAAATAAATGACAGAAATGTAACTTTTTCATATAGCAGATATAAATAATCATGTTATTTTCTTCTTTATTGATGAGTTTAATACATGTTTTAGGAGAACTTGCGAGAGAAGGACAGTGTGATCTCAGCTCGTACACAAGCCATCACTCTGCTTTCGGAGGATATGGCTCGTAAAGGCAAGGCCACTCTGGACACGCTGGAGGAGACGAGGAGTCAGATGAAGACAATGCAGGCCAACTTTGTGGCTCTGGAGCAGCGTATGGGCGAGGAGCGGACCAGGCTCAAGGATGAATTGGAGACCAAGAAACTTAAGTGAGTGATGTGTTGTTAATTATTAAGGAAATTGACAGGGAACCAGGCTTACCTTTAAATAAGTCCATAAACATATACACAACATAAAATATACAACACAAAAGTAGAAATTCTCGTACTGGATAAATGGCAATGGCAGTTGCAATTTGAATCTATTTCACCTCGTCAGGGTTGCCAACACTGCTAAAGAGACCAAAAATTGTTTTTACTGTTCCTTATGTATGAATATGTTCACTCATTATGAATAATCCACTATATACAAAGTTCTATATTTACACATGTACACACATACATAATATATTATATAAAACTAGCTGTACCCACGGGCTTTGCCCCGTTTTACTTAATAAGTGAGCTCGTTCGCATGGCTCAATTACGTCCTGGTTGAAGTTCGTTCGCTACGCTCACTCACCTATTGGTTGGAGCTCGTTCGCTGCGCTCACTTGCCTTCAGGTTAGCTCGTTCGCTGCGCTCACTTGCCTTCAGGTTAGCTCGTTCGCTACGCTCACTCACCTTTTGGTTGCAAATTAGCTGTAGTCGTAAATTTAAAAAAATAGTGCTGCACCCTGTTGGCAATCCTTGTAACTTAAATGCTATTGCACATCATAGAAAAGAACCAACTTGTTTAATTGAAACAGCTGTTAATATTCATTAATTCCATTTAAATATGAGTACTCATAAGGTTAACATGGGAAACTCCAGAGCCACGGGGGCGGAGCCCGAGAGTCCGATCAGAATAAAAATAGCTTAGTTTTCCTATTTAATGCCTAAAGAATCAGTGTACCAAATTTCAGCGTCCTAGGTAAATGGGAAGTGGGAGAATTAGTGATGAGTGAGTGAGTGAGTGTGTCAGTGAGGGCTTTGCCTTTTATATATTTAGATATATATATACACTAGCCTGCTATGAAAGGTGAGGAATTGGGATTATCTTATATTAAGGTTTGGTGGGTTTCTAGAGTAGGTGAACAGTAGGTAGCTTAATTCCCATCTTCTCAGTTCTGAGGGGTTGCAGTTCGGAGGTAGTTAGTTGTTTTATTATTTTTGAAGAGAAGCAGCTATTGAAATCAGATTTGGAGTGTGATGAGGCAAGGTTGACTACTGGTTTATCTTTATAATTATTTTTTACATCTTGACGATGGCCGTTCATTCTGATATGGAACTGGTTCTTTGTTAGGCCTATATCCCAAGCTGGGCAGTTTTTACATTGAAGCTTAGATTACATTGCTGGTACTGCAGGTGTTGTGTTCTTGAATCTTGAAAACTTCATTTGTGGCATTACTGGAAAAACTTGGGGTGGGGGGGTTGATGGGACACGTTTTGCATCTGGAAATATTACATGAGAAAGAGCCGTTTTAGGGTTTGTTTCTGTTTGCTGTCATTGGATCCGGTATCTTAGGATGAACAAGAATCTTTCATCTTTTTGATGTTGGGTGGTTGGCAAAATGTGGTTATTGGGGGTGTTTTCAGGAAATCTTTTGTGTGTGGGGAAGCTTGGAGAATGTTGAATCCATTGTAGGCCATGGTGGTAGTCAGTTATTAGGTTTAGGTTTTGCGGTGGTTTCTACAAGGTTTTGGGATATTCTCTTACAATAAAAGCATTGGAAATTTTTGAATTTAAATTGTAGAGTTCCTCTTCTGTAGAACAAATATGTTTGGCTCGGATGGTTTGGCTATACAGTATAGATCTTTTGGTATTGGCTGGATGAGAACTGTCAAAATGTAAGTATTGTAGATTATTGGTGGGTTTGATATGAATAATTGAATTAAATGTGTTTATTTCCGCATAATATATACAGAAAGCAAAATATACTTTTTAATACAAAATATACTTACAAAATATAAACTAAGACTAAAAATAAAAAGAACCTTTCTGTATAGATTAATTTAATTAATTATATGAAATACAGCAGACATAGGCAAGTGCTGCCTGTGCGTCTGCTGGGATATGAATGCCAGGGGTTATCAGTTCATTATTCAATTTCACGTTTACGTCTAAAAATGTTATTTCTGAAGTTGAGCTGGTTCAACAACCCAAGACCAATGTTAAGATAAAAATATTGAAATTTAATTTAAAGCTTTTAATTAAATACTACTATCCCAGATCTGAAAGTTTGTAAATTGACTTATGAAGTCAATTACACTGAGTACCAATAATTAGAAGTTCCTGTTTTTCTTTAATCTTGGTTTTATGTTATCAAAGTTTCTCATTTTTTAATTATGACAATATAATACGACTCACTCCCATGCACGGGCTCTTCCATGTGGGATTTGATTATTAGTTTATTTTAGCTATACAGTAGCTTAAAACTTACATATAGCTTATACATCATGTTCTGTAAACATTGTCTATTTCATCCGAAATAAAAGATGTTTTTATTGGATTTTAAGTACAATATTAGCACTCCAACATTCGATAACCCAGCAATGTACTAATTGAGTCATAAGTTAATGTTTTGACCGTACTAGAATTTCTAACTTGAAAGAAGTCTTGCATCTTTCTGTTCACCATATCCAGTCTGATTCCCTGAATGTCTAGTTATAATCAGTGTGTAGAATATGTGCATTGCTATGCTTTGGTTCAATACTTGTCTGTCAGAACTTATAACTAACGATTCCCAGACTGATTCATTTTAACTCCAAATAACTGGAGATAACAATGAGCTTATCTCAGCATGTTGGTTAGGTTAGGTATTATTTTAAGTAAATGCTAACTTTTTGAAATCTTAAAAAAATATTCTTTTGTAGGCTTCAACAATTAGAAAAGAATTATCGGGCGGCCGAGTCAGCCAGGTTTGATCTCTCCACCCGAGTTGCAGAGTTGCAGGAAAAAGTTGTTGCTGTACAAACAAAGAATGTGTCTTTGGAAGAAGAAGTTGCTGCAGCTGCTGCAAAAGCTAAAGAATTGACTGAGGCTTTGGAAAATAGCAACAAGCAAACGATTAAAATGAAGGCTCAGTTCAAGGTCAAACTTAAAGCATTAGAAGAGGAAAGAGACCTGCTTAAAAAGGTGAGATGATGTACAACTACATAAAAAGTTGAAATTTAAAAAGTATCTAAGTGCCACAGCAACCCTGCAGACTGAGCAAATTGCCATTTGTCTGATTGGACTTTGACCAAAATCTATCAATACTGTTACAAAGATGAAGTGGTGTTTGTCTGTCTGTGTCTGTCTGTCTCTCTGTTTGTGTGAGGATACATATAGAACGATTCTCGCTTCGATATGGACTTAGGACTCTGCCCTGTGGGCTTTCAAAGTTTAACCGTTTTTGAAAATATCAGCTAAAATAAGTTAGGCTACATCAATATAAAAAAAATTATCATTAGCAGAACCTCTATATAGCGAATTAATACCTACTTAACGAAGTGTCTGCTCCTTTCCCTTGTTATAACGAACCCCCAACATAATTGTTTTTTAAATATCACAGTTCCTTTGATGAAAATGAAATGGAAAAATGTTGTAAACACTTGCGCTGACAATTGTCTACTCCGTTTTACCATTACACCATACTCAATGATTTTACACATCTGTCTGCAGTGCGCTAGGTCACAACTGATTTCATTTGCCGGAGACTGATGACGACATAATGCTTATTAAAGTGTGGTTGGGTGATAAGTAACCGTAGCAAGTTAGGTAGACTGTGATTGGGTGATAAGTATCCTTGGCGATTTGTTGAGTTTTTGGATGAAGAGAAACCTATGAAATAATAGAAAAACCAAGAGAAAGAAATAAAAGCGTCATTATCTTTGTATTATTTTTACAAGTGCTTTTATTGACATTAAGTATGATTTTACATTGTTATGGCTTATCTAATGTTTTAATTGATTAATTGTTTTTAATATAATTTTTTTTTCTCAATGGAAACCCAAATGCTAGTTGATTATTATTATCAACATTCCACAGTTGTGGGTGGCACTGGTACCCTATCAGCCTACACGAGTAGTAACTTACATAAAACTCTATTATTTTGTTCTTTACGTGATTTATTGTTATACAGTGTTCGGCTAGTTTTTAGGTGAGTAAGCTGTGATTTTAAACGTTGAACCAAGGTAATAATATTGTGCAATATTGTATTTAGATGATAAACAATTCAAATTATCAGCATGACCCTTCATACTCACTTATATCACCCCACATAATCGTGGTTATACTTTACAATACATATACAACAACAACAATGCATATACAACTTAATTGTTTTTAACGAGATCAAAAGTCAACCTTATTGAGCTATGCTGTTTGTGAACAGTGGCGGATCCAGGATAGGCCAAAGGGGGGGCTTGGTGTTTAGGGTAGTGAAAATACAGGGGGGTCCATCAAGGTGGGTGCTCCGGGGGTCCCCCCTCAGAAAATTGTAAAAATTTAAGTCTAAAATTACACATTTTTGGCAGTTTTTAACTCTTTTTTAACCACAGTTTAGAGGCAAAAACTATGACTAAAACACTATGTTTGACTGAAGAATATTGAACAAAAAATAAAAGGATTTTGTAGCCATTATATTGTTTTTATTATAAAAGGTCTAAAGCAGAAGTATTTTATAGGTTAGCTGGTTGGTTCTTAAATTAAAGAGCAACAGTTCAAAACAAAGAAATAAGTTGACTTTTTAAAGGACAGTAATATTGTTAAAAAACACTTATTTAAAAGAAACTTTAATGTTACACCTTTTTAACAGTACAATGCTATGAATAAGTTTTTCGATGGTCCAATTTGACAAACACATTCGTCTTGTTTTTGACTGACTAAAATTATGTACTTTAAAACTTTATCTACATCGATTTTACTTTCCTTATTAATATGCCAGTGCAATCCCGTTCAACCGGTCTTCTGTCATGGTTGACCTGAGATAAGTTTTTATTCTTCTCTCTGGATCCTCTGGATTCTCACTGTTAGTGATTCAGCAAAATTCCAGCAGACCTAATCTCAATACAACAAACCTTATTTTAACAAAATCCTTGGTTTTACGAATGTTCAGTTCCGTTCCTTCAGATTTGTTATACAGGTTGGACTGTAATTATAAAACCTTTACCTGTAGAAGGTGAAGGTATCTTTGTTGATTATGTAACTAAAACAAGTTGTCATTAAAAAGGATTGCACGGCTAGAATTATTTTTACAGTAATCAATCTAAAGATCTGCCCAACCACATAAAGATCTTAAGAAATCAATACCTGAAGAGGAAACTCAAAGACTGGCTAATGGGTTAACCATTTTACTCTTTTTACTCTTTTTACTCTTTTTACTCTTTTTACTCATTTTACTCATTTTACTATTTTTAATAACAAACAATCTATTGTATATGACAATATTGTATTTCTTAAAGAAATCTAAATAAAGAAAATTGATTGATTGATTTTAACTTCTAGTTCAAAATTCAAAATTTGTGGATTTTTTCCATAACTGTGCAAGATAATTTTGAACTTTATAAATACAAATAACCAATTTAAATCTTGTGTTTTTCAGGAAAATACGAACGAGGAGATGAACCGATTGCGTGAACGAATCGCAGACTTGGAGGATGAGAAAGGTAACCTTCAGTTGCATCTGGTAGACTTTGATGAAATACAAGGTAACGTTACATCCGTCACTCGACTCACTTCATCACTAACTCAGGCTTGGTGTCAGGAGGTTGCAGGGTTTGGTATTTGTGGGACAGCAATAGTTTGTAAATACTGTAAATTAGAAAATCATCTTTAAATATTGTGAAAGAACAAAGAGGATATTGATACTTGGCAGATAATTTTTTTTCAATCAGTATTATTAGTTATATTTGAACAGAAGATTTGTGTGCTCAGTAATGTTATAGTGTTGGGTGATTCATATTGTAAAACAAAAGTGCTAAGCAATGTACAATTAGGCTGAAATTGTTGTTAAACCAATAGATAACTAGATAACTGCGTGGTTATAGCTAGCCTAGAAATCAAAATGTCATCGGTTATATTCTTAGAAAAGTCAGCAGATTTTCAATTATTCAAAACTTAGCCCAGATGTGCTTGATCATTTAAATTGTGTTAGTAACAGTAACTTATCCTGTCTACCTAAACATGGTTGCTGTTTTACGTAGGTCAGGGTATTTGATCTTAAGGTTGGTTTGTGACAAAGTGTTAGATATTTCGTGTTTGTTGTTTTTGATTAGGGAGCTGGAGAGACCTCATTGGGCTTTTGATTAAAGTATTTTTTTTTCATTTCCTAGATTATTTTCATTTTAGTTTTATTAATATACTTTGTATTTTTTTCTAATATTTGAATTGAAGTTAAGGCTTGCTGTGTAAGTTTTGAGTTTAAATTCTCGTCTATGTCTCTAAACTGATTGTCTGTAAACCTCCAAGCCACGAGGTTAGCCCCTTTTAGACATTTCATCCCAAAGATGTCACCAATTTTAAAATCAAAATCATCGCAGTTGGTGTGAGCCACCAACAGATTGTGCTGAAAAGTAAATTACTGACTAATACACACACTTGTTTACCAATTCAAACTAATGAAACGACTTATAATAAGCTAAAGCAACTATTATGACCCATCAACTAACTTATGTCAGCAAACAAAAATAAATTTGAAAATAGAATGTTAGACGCTAGCACATTAAAACAAAAATAGTCCACATGTAGATGGGTTGAAAACAGCTGGTCCATGTAGATGGGATCTCTTCTTCAGTACGGTATACAATAGTCAATGTTAGCCCACAGTACAAGGTAATATCACATATCAATTTTGATACATAATACCAAAAATTGCTCTACTACCTAAAATAAGCCTCAAGTTCCACCGTCTCTCAAACTGACCGCCTTGTTATGTAATTATATACTCGTCATATACTGTGGCCTACTTAAAACAACTGCCTGCTTTAGTTCAGCACGATAAATTATTCTTTTCTCTTCCAGCCACCTGTGCAACATTGCAAAACAACTTCCCCTTTAAAATAAAGCCCCCTACTATTTCAGTTTTTCACAGGATTCAATCTAACTATTTAGTTTGTATTACAAACTTATCAGAATAATGATAAAAATGTGAATACTAAACAAGGGGAGATTTCCTTTGTCTTAATAACGTGTAGTAGTGTTGTGTTGTGTTGAATGGTGGATAAATAAGAGCTTCGCTCAACAATCAGCCTCGCTTTGCAAGTTGTCTCCATTGTGAGAATTGCGCGCTATGGTGCATTCATAGGTATATTCCAAACTATATTCATTCAAACTTTGCAGTGTTTCAAGTACGTAGCCGATTTTTTTATTTAATGTTGAGAAATCCAAAAATCTTTTATTACAAAATATTCACACATATTTGTTCATAATTGCAGCTCAAAGTGAGTAGCCTATTTTTTGGAAGGATTCTATGTTTTTCTATTTAAATGTATACTGAATGATAGAAGCATTTAATAACGACACACTTATATACTTAAACTTACACTAAATATGCACAGACATTGCAGTGAATAAATACTGCAGTAGTGAATGATTTTGGCTAGACATTACAATCAACATCCAGATACAATACAGAGTAAATAATTCCATGATGACTCTAATAACATGATATAATGAAACAATTGTCTAGTTTTATAACCTAGTTTGGTTGTTAATACACTTATATATTGTGCTTTTATTGGTTTATTTGTTGTTTAATCGCTATAGATTTGCTTGGTTTAAAATATAATAGGCCTGATGAATAAAAAAATTTAAGAGTAATTTGATGTAGGAATTTTGCAGTTTAAGAAGTTTTTATAAATATTCTTCGTTTTATTTTGATAAATATGACATTGTACTGTTGTTAACCACTTCTGCACTCATAATATGTTGTTGTATATTGGTATTGATTTAATTTTAGCGAATTTCCCATATAGGGAATAAGCTTTTACTGTAGGTCTCATGGTAAGACCTGGATCCGGGACTAATTTACTTTTTCGTTTTGAGGTCCCCAGAGGCCAAAAACACAATCTGTTCAAATTCATATATATATATATTCACCGTCCTCATTGTTGTATAATCCCGCCCATCATCAAAATAGGTAAAGTAAAGAAAGTAAATGGAAATAATTTTCAATTATCTTGTGGGTTACAGAAAAATTAATTCTCGACATTGAAAACTCATAAGAGAAGTAATTTGGGTCACATAATTCACAAAAAGTAATGTAGGTCACACATCAGATCCTCAGATTTTGTGACCCAAATTACAGTGACCGACATTAGCATTTTCACTCTCGTCATTTACTAAAATGGAACATAGAGGCATGGTTCGCTTTGCTGGCCATAAGTTTGGTTAAGTACGCGTCTGTCTTATATTTTCGTAGTTTTGAATAAGTTATTTACCTTATTGTAACAGCTATTATCAATACCGATCATTACACAAAAACTTAACGCTTACATAACAGATTTTAAATCAAGACTTTCCGTATAAACTGGAAAGCCTGGCATCACATAACGTCTAACCTACTTCACCCACAGTCAACAACGAACAGAAAGAGGCCGAAATATTGATCTGCCCGGAGTTGATAGGGTTGAAAGACCTGACGAGAACTGGTTCCGACCCTCGAACCCAGCATTACATTCACGGCCAGGGACGCGACTTTTAACGATCGTTATTGCCAGTATAATTTAATTAAGGTATAATAAATTATTTTAACACGTTTACTGCTGAAAACAACGTACAGGCGCTCCCCAGTGGCGGGCGAAGCCCCGCTACGCAACCGAATCAGCGAACGCAATTGGCATTCAAATATTTCAGTCTGACGAATCACAAAAGAGCAGTGGTGACTGTGCTGTGTTACCCTGAGAGTGGACGTAGTTCACTGAAACACCCAAAGGTAGCAGCACTGCACGGATCCGTATCCAGTGTCTTTGTAATGTGGGTTGAAGAGAAAAAATCCCCGAAACCGGGACAAAAGCATTGCCAGACAGGATTTTACGGGAAATTTTAGTACCAACCTACACCAAAGTAAAGCTCGCATTCTAAGCTGGCAGTCTGGCAACGATTATAACGTCTCCGTCTGAGGCTAAGCTCACACTGACTCAATATATTTCTGTTGGTCTGGTGCCGACTTTTGTCGGCGCGCGCCACATTGAAGTGCTAGCGACGCCGACTAAAGTCGGCGTTAGCAGTCAACGTGTTAAAACTATTTGGAACAGGAATAGATGGTGGAAGAGGTATAAATAGCTAGGGACAGCAATTGTCCTGTTTTCAAGTTTTTGCCCGTAAACGTTCATTTATTCGAACGAGTTCGCGAACCAGCATGATCGGACAATGGGAACGGGGGTTTATAGGGGGTTTTATGGGGTAAAAATGGGGTTTTCCCATTTTCGACCCTATAAACCTAACATTTTGGAATTTCTTTCCCAAGCATTTTGTAGAGCTTAAAAAAAGAAATAATTTAGTATATTGAAGCATTTTTGTATGCCTAATGGTTACGGAGAAAATTCAAAAAAGAGCAAAATTAAAATTCCCATGTTATTCTTATGGAGAAAATGAAAACTGTTGTAGTTTACTTGTTTATGGATATATGTTGATCAAATTTGGCAAATTTATTTATTTCATCGTATACTATTGATGTTTGGTCAAAAAACACAGTTTACCTTCCCCGTAGCAGCAAACCTAAGCACTCGTTAAATCTAATGTTATTTAAATTGGAAATAAATATGTCTTATTTATGGAAATACTGTATTTGAGTAAATATGTAATCAGACAAGTTGAAATTCGCTTAGTCTGCAGGTTTAAATAAATAAATAAATAAATAAATCTTTATTGTCACATAACGTTTACAAAATATAGCAATGCTATAAAACAGGTGACATTGTCAATACAGTATACAAATACCTTAAAACTAAGGAGTTATAAAAGAATAAAATAAACTAACGCTATGAAAATAGAAATAATTGTTGTAGACAAAATAGATAAACTTAAACATTGCATTTAAAATACCAAATGATTACACATCTTGATCACATAAAAACTCATCTATACTATAATATGTTTTCCTTAAAAGAAAATTAGTAAGGCTGCTCTTGAAATGCTTAGACTGTATTCTGTTTTTGAGCTCTTGAGACAATTTATTAAAAAACTTTTTGCCCATGTATGTCGGAGTTTTTTCTACTAATGAAAGACGGTGCCGCGGATATTGAAAATTATATTTAAACCTAGTATCGTACTTATGCTTGACATTTTCACTAGATAATTTTTCAAAATTTCCCTCCACCATCAAAAGTGTTTTAAAAATGGTTAAACTCGGAACAGTCATTATCCCTAATTCTTTAAAAATAGGTTTACATGATGTTCTCCAAGGAGCAAATATCATTATTCTTAAAAACCTTTTTTGTATCTTAAAAATTAAATCAATGTTTGATGCAAAACCCCAGAATTCAATTCCATACTGAAGAATTGAATAGAAGTATGCATAATATAACATCAAACGAGTTTTTAAGTCAATTGTGTTTCTTAAACATATCATTTGATAACATGCCGAATTCAGTCTACTAATCAAATTTTCAATGCTTTTGTTCCAATTTAAATTTGAGTCTACGTACAATCCGAGAAATTTTGCATCATCTTGAACACATAACAGGCAAGGCTGCTGTTTGCTGTGGCGGGTGTATTTTATTACATACAAGCTCTGATGGTACAGGATTTATTGGTTTGGCAAGGGTCTGGTCCATAGATATTCGAAAGAGTGGAGGTATAATGTAAGATTATGAAATACTTGCTTTCTAAGCCGTTGTGTTCTGTAATATTCATGCTGCTAAAGTATTAAAATACTTTATTAAAATTAATTCCAAACAACATCTTAAAAATCCTTTACCTTACCTTTCCACTCTTTACCTTATTCATTTTTGGGTTATTTGTTAATGTACACCTAAGATGTGTCTTTATTGAACCTTTGTTTATCTTCCTTTTAGATGCTGGTGTTATTCTTAAAGAAAGAATTGCTGAAATGGAGGAAAAGCTTCAAAGGCAAGAAAGTGATTTGGACAGTCACATCAAGGCTATAACCCAGTTGGAAGCTGAAAAACTAGATTTGATTGAAGGTAAACATCTTTCATTAACTTGAAGTTTAAAATTTAACTCACTTATTTATTTTATCTGATCCTGAATCATCCTCCGTTAAAAGATTATCCTGACATGGTTGTTCAAACAGCATTGTTTAAGTTATGTAAATTTTTTATATTTTTTACAAGTAAAGAGTAAGTTAGTAAGCTATCAAAATACACTGTTTCACTTTAAGTAACTACGCTTTTAAATTTATCTGGTTGCATGGCTTACAAGAAATTGATTGTCATAAATAAAATTGTTATTATTAGTAGTATAAATAATACTTTACTCTATTGTTTCAGGAACAAAGAAAATGGAACAAATATTGAAAGATAAGGAATCTTTATTGGAGACACTCAAACTACAAATTTCCCAAATTGAAGAATCAAAAATATCAGCAGAAATGAAATGCTTGGAACTGGAAGAAAAAATGGACACTTTTGTGACTAAGGAAAATGAGTCCACTTTTATCAACTCTGAGTTAGAAAGCTCCCGACTGAAGCTTATAGAGTTTCAAGGCATTATTGCTGATTTGACTGCTAAGCTTGAAAGCAAGGAACATACAATACAGACCCAAAAAGCAGTTGAGTTGGAGGGTGTATCTGAGATTAAGAATATACAAAATCTCTCTTCTAGCCTTGAAGAGTGGCAGGAAAGGTATCGTAACCTTGAAGAAAGACTTAATGCAACACTAGCTCACTGTGATGAGCTAGAAAAAATGAAAAAGAATTTAGAAACAGAAAATGAAAAGCTTGTTAAAGACTGTGTCTACTTCAAGGAAACCGTTGAACAGTTGAACCAAATGCTACAAACAAAAGGTGATTCGCCAAATGAAGAAATTATTTCTTTAAAACAACTTGTTGCTCAAAAGAACAGTGAGCTTAGTAGTTTGGGCCAGCAGAGCCAAACTCTTCAAGGTGAAGTTGATAGTTTGAGGGAAGCATTACAGTCGACAACAGCTGAAGTTTACCGGTTGTATGAACAAGTAGAACAGTTGAGCAACACCCAGCAGAAAGTCGAGGAGCTCAATGAAAGTCTACATGGCAAAGAAAAAGCACTCGAGGAAAGGACACGCAAACTGTCAGAATATAAAAAATTCCATAAACTTAAAAGTGAAGATGTTATCAGAATATCACATGAGTTGGAAACAGTTTCTGCTTCTCTCCAACAAAGGATTGCAGAACTTGAGGAAGACTTAAATAATGCTCGAAAAATTGAAGAAACTTTAAGAAATGAGAATCAAAATTTGAAAGAAAACAAAAGTTCAGGAACAGAGCCCCTTGAGAAAAAACTGGAGGAGCAATCCCTCAAGATGAAAAAGTTAGCTGCTAACTTGAAACTAAAAACTAAACTAGTTAAAGATCTTGAAGCAAAGGTAGAGGAACTAGACAAAACACTTCAGCAAAAAGATATAGAAATTTCAGAACTCCATCAGCAATTGGCTGGTACTTCACAATTGAGTAATGTCGTTTCAACAAATGCTGTTGAAATTGAAGAAAAATGTAGGCATTTAGTTGTTGAATGCAACTCATTAAAAGAGGAACTTAAAGTGAAATCATTGGAATTAGAAACACTAAAGAATTCAACAGGTTATGCTTATGATCCACTGGTACAAATAAAAGAATTAGAAAATCAAAACCAAAAATTGGCAGACATATCAGCAACAAAATCTGAACAGCTTAAAAAAATGGAATGTGAATTATCTGAATTGAATGGTCTGAATAAGTCACTAATGACTGAATTAGAACAGATGCAAGAAAACTACAAACAAGATGCCCTGAAAAATGTATCTGTTCTGGAAGGTTTTGAAAATGAGATGATAGGGAACAAGAGAGAAATTTTGGAAGTAAGTGAGCAACTCAGAGATGTGACAGCCAAGTATCAACAAACCTGGGCAAAGTTACAAGAGAAAGAGGGCTATGTAGAGGAATTAGAAAACCAGTTAGAGAAGGTAAGATTGAGGCTTTCACAGATTGAAAGTTCTGTTGAAGAGAGAAGAAGATCTTTAGAAGAAAAAGCAGAATTGTTAGGAGCACGTCTTTGTCAAGCTGAGAAAAATAACGAAGAACTTGAAAAACATAAGGGAGAACTGGAGCAAAAGATATCACATTTGTTTAGTACTGAAGAAATGCTAGGAAGTGCTCTCGAAAGACTTCAGAGTGAAAACAAAGAGCTTTCTATGTCTCTGAATGATTCATCAACTAGTAACATTAAATTATCTCAGGATTTGGCCTGTGAGCAGAATAAAGTTCTCGCCCTTAATAAAGAAATCGTTGATTTACAGTCAAGACTATATACCACTGAAAAAACAGTTGATGATTATGAAAAATTGAAACTGAACTTGAAGGAACTGCAGGATGCTCGTGATAGTCAAGTGAAATACTTAGAAAATCGTTTGACTGAAACTGAACAATCAATGGAAATTGAGATACAGAGGTGTAATGAACGTATTGTTGCTGTGGAATCGGAGAGGCAAGATGTGGTTGAAAAATATCAGTCCTTGTGCTTGGAAAAACAAGTGTTAGAAGAAGAGTTCAACAATATGCAACAGACAATTGTAGATATTACTAAGGAGGAATTGGAAGAACTTAAAAATAACCAGAAGATTTTAGAAGAAGAACTTAATAAAGAGTTTGACAAAAGAGAATCTCACATTGGAAGGATAAAAGAGCTTGAATCCCAACTTTCAAGTTCAAACGCAGGCACACATTCTGTTACACAACCAAGTGAAGAATTAATGGAATTAAGGAAGCAGTTAAATGAAGAAAGGAATGAAAACGAAAGACTGAAATATGAGTTACTAAAGGAGAAGGCCAGCCAACAAGTAGATGATGTTGTTGCCAAAGCACAGGAAACTTACTTTACTATGGCTGAAGTCCCACTAAGTTCTAGCCAAAACATAATTTCATCAATTCAAGAGAATGTTACAGAAGATTCTTCAGATTCTTCTCAATCTCCACCAAGTTCTGAGTCTAAAAAAATATTAGCAATGCAAAATAAAATAACCGAACTTGAAAATCAGCTGTCCAGTGTAAACTCAGAAAACGTTACTTTGAAAACTCGTTTGCAGGAATTAGAGGTTCAGAGTAAGAATGTTGGTGAGAGCAATGCCTTGTTAGAAAACGAAGAATGGGCCTCGGGCAGCAAAGATGAAGATGATGGGTGGGGTTGGGGAAGCAAAGATGCTCTGTTAGAACATGAGTATAGTCAAAAACAAAAAGTTAACTCTGAGCTTGAAACTAAAGTATCAACTCTGGAAAGCAGATTGAGAGACCAAGAATTGGAAAATATCAGATTAAATGATGAACTAAAAGCTGCTCAAACAAAATGCACAAAACTATTTAAGAAAGTTAAAGAATTCAAGAATAAAAGTGACAGTTTAGAAAGAAGCAGCCGGGAAAGAAGTGTTGGATTTGATGATTTGGATATTGCAATGCAAGAAGAGATGAAATCCCAAATTGAAAAGTTAGAAAAGAGTCTCAAAGAATGCACTAGTAATCTTAACTCCTTGCAAACAGAAAGAGAAGGGCTATTGAAAAGAATTGATACATTGACATCTGGAAACGAAAGGCTTATAGAAATGAAAGAAAGGCAAGATATAGAAGTAGAAATGTGGCAAAGAAGAAGTAATGACCTACAACATAAAGTTCAGGGATTGGAGTGGACGATTGCAGAGTTGCAGGAACAAACAGACACAAGGACAAAGGAAAACATTGATGTAGATAAAGATAATGCAGGCACAAATGCGTCAGAAATGGAGGAAAAGCTAAATACTCTAGCAGCTGAAAATGATTATCTTCAATCATTGCTTGTTGAACTGAAGGATAAGGAGAAGAAACAACAGAAAGATCTACTTCCTGTTACTGAAGGAACAGAATTTGAGAAGTTAAAAGAGGACAATGAAAGATTGAATAGTTTAGTGCAATCACTGGAAAAACAGTTGATAACTGAGACAGAAAACACAAATATTAGTGGTTATCTTAGTAAGATTGAAAATCTTGCACAAGAGAACAGTAGGCTATCTTCTGCTTTGGAGAATTTAACAATTAAATCCCAATCAAGTTTTGCTGATTATGAAAATTTTCAAGTTGTTGAACAGACATTAGAAAGTGATAAACTTATATCTGAAGTATCGATGCTAAAAAACAAAATAATTCAGCTAATGAATAAATATGACGATGTGAAAACAGAGATAAACAATGATACCATGTTGAATACTTACTTAGGGCTATTTAAAGGAAATGAGGAAAGTAGTTCAAATAATTTGGAGTCATTTTCTACCAATGTCGAAAGTCCAGTTCTGTTTAGAGGATTTACTTCTTCAGGTAATGACGTGTTTGAAGAAATAGCTGGAGTAAATGCATTTTTTGAAAGTCAGCCAAGTAAGCAAACTGAAAAGAATGAAAATGCATCAGTGTTCAATGAGAGTAATTTGGTTGAAGGAACTACGCTGCATAGTCCTCAATCTAAAGCAAGTGGTGCTGAAGCTGACATTAATCAACATCAACCTCTTTCCCATCTACTTGTAGAACCTCCAAAAGGTGATACTCTTACAGAAATAACAAATCTTAAAAAGATTTTGGAGTTAAAAGATTTGGAGTTTGCATCTCTCATAGAACGTATGTCTCTATTGGAGAAAGAAAACTCGAATCTGAAAAATAAAATTGAAGAAGGGAATTCAAATAAAACCTTTTGGGGTGAAGATTCCAAGGCACAATCTGAATTATTAGATCAGCAATGGGGTGAGGATTTATCATCTCTTTACAAGCAGTTGGAAGAAAAAGATTCTATAATCAGTAATCTAAAGACTCAATTTAGTTCTCAGACAAGTGATTTGTTTGATGCAAAAAACACAGATGACCCAAACAGTTTTGAGGATGGGTCATTCAGCAATGTTTTTTCACAATCCGAAGATGTTCAAGAAAGCAAAATAAATCAATTTGTTGAACAAATCACACAGCTCACAAAAATTTTGCACGATAAGGAGATTGAAGTAGAAACACTGACAGATAAAAAAAACAAATACAAGGAAATGTATTTCACATTGATAAAGGACGAAGATAATCAATCGCAGGATGTATCAAGTTCTGGTAAAGATCAGCTTTTGGACCAAAACGTAATATTAAATCAGTTACTGGATGACAAAGAATCCGAGTTGGAAATAATGACTCAACAAATTGATCAAACATTGTCAGCTAAGGAGAATTTACAAGAAGAATTGTCATTAAAACTGTCTGAAATGGAAGCAGTAAACAAGTCGTACTCTATTCAACAATTTCCAGAAGACGTATTTGTTCAATCTTTACAACCAGAAAATATTGAAGATGTCAGAACATTATGTGCTGAAGTTGCTGAGTTGAATAAACTGCTTCAAGAAAGGGAGTCTGAAGTTGAAATTCTGAAACAACAGCTTGATGAGGCTAAGTTAGAGAAAGAAAACCTTCTTGATGAGTGGAAAAAGGAACTAGAAATGTATAAAGAAAAGAGTAATAACGCCTTAGCTAACGAAGAAGTAATGAGAAAAGAGTTGGACGCTTTTAAAGATGGTATTGTGGCAGATATTGAGAAACAGTATAAAGATGAATTGTCTTTGAAAGACCAACAATTGATGAATGCCATAAATGATTTAAGAAATACACACAGTTATTGTAAAGATTTACAAGACAAAATTAATGATCTAGAAAACAAATTACAGTTATCTAGTCAGCAGAATGAATTATTTACCCAAGAGATAAATAACTACAAACATACTCAGGACTCTTTGCTGTCATTACTTCAAGAACCAAATGACAGGCTGGATATAAATTTGCCAGAAAGAGTTCAGAGGCTTCAAAATAACTTATCAGAACTAAGTGTGAAGTTTGAAGAAGCTAGAGGGGAGCTTAAAGAAAAAGAAAAACAAATTTGTTTGTTGAGGGATAAAGTTAAATTTTCTGAAAGTGTAAGTTCTGAAGATGGAATTGTAACTGAGAATCAGCCTCGACAAACACATATTCAAGCTAGGGCCTTTGCAACCGAGCCCTTCAGGATTTCAACTGAGCAAAGCTCGAGTGATGATGACAGTAGTTACAGAAATGTGGAGCATATGCAGAACCAAATGCTTGTAAAAGAGATAGAATCGCTAAAACAGGTGTTGGCCATGAAAGATAATGAAATCACAAGACTCTCAATAAAACTTAATGAAGCTGACGAAAACTTAATCAGAGGAGAAATGAGGTTTATTAACTCAGAAGAGGAGATTTTGAGACTGCGTCTTGATGAAGCTTTGTATACGCTTCATTTAAGAGACGTGCGCTGCGATGAACTTGCTCTAGAACTTATGCAGGTGGGTAGTGTCTTTTTCACCAAAACTTGAGTCTATTATGAATTATACATTAATAAGAGTTCCTTTTGGTAAGGTTTGGAGTTCAGATAGCTAACCTGATAAAGTTTGAATCCACAGGCTAATAGATACATAGGAAAAGGTAATTTAACATAACTCTCTTAAATTCATTCCCTGAAGAAATTCTATATTAGCTTGAAGTATCAGTATTATGTTTTGTAACCATTCTCACATAAGAGTGGTAGACATAAGTTGTTTGGTGCAAAAATACACATAACCAAGTGAGCTATGAAAAGTTAAGCCAATGTAAATGTCTACAGTCTAATCCATCATATTTGGCTTTGGTCTTTTCGGTCCATGCTTTATCTGTCCGTGTATCAGAATTTAGAATTCAAACTTATTTTTAACGGCTCACAATAAAAAGTAAACTTAAGTTGTTCTCACAGTCCATCTGCTTCTAATGTATCTAATAGGAAGGAGAATATATTATTTACCAGCCAATAGATAACAGACAAATTGTTTATTGAATTATTCCTAGAGAACCTTCATGCTCAGTTAAAATTATCTCATATATTAAAAAAATTGGTTTTTCTTTTCCGAGTACGTTTGGTTCTTCTACCCGACCGATTTTCATGATTGAGGTCTCAAACTGAAGGTATGCACGCACATATTTGCCATCAAGCATCGCCATATATTTATCTATAATCCCATTCGGCTTGTACGTAAACAAAATTTGCTCCCCGTGTATTTCTTATGGGAGTTAAATTTGGTTTTTCTTTGCCAAGTTCGTTTGGCTCTTCTACCCGACCGATTTTCATGATTGAGGTCTCAAATTGAAGGTATGCACACACAGATTTGCCATCAAGCACCGGCATATATTTATCTACAATCCCACTCGGCTTATACGTAAACAAAATTTTCTCCTCATGTATTTCTTATGGGAGTTAAATTTGGCTTTTCATTGCCGAGTTCGTTAGGCTCTTCTACCCGACCGATGTTCATGATTGAGGTATCAAATTGAAAGTAGGCCTATGCATGCAAAGATTTCACATCAAGTTTCGGCATATATTTACCTTATGTATTACTCGACCAAAAAACATAGTTTGATTCATTTTTGAATTCTTACTTCAATTTATGATGTATTTCACCAGTTATAATTATATAATCCTAGATATTTTAGTCTAAGAACTTTCAGTGAAATACCGGCTTTCATTTAAGCTATTAGCTATTGAAATGTGCCGAGTTTTAAGTAAACACAAGGTGAACAACCAACATAAAAATTATTTTACAAGGTTTTTTATGATTAAAAATAAATCTCTCCAGTACTGTTTATGTTTTTTTTTTATATTTTATACTCAAAATAATCAGTTAATTATTGGCTTTAATTTGAGCTACTGACCGTTTGAATCAGTTAAGCTCAAGATACTGGATTACTTAATCAAAAATCTCAAATTTGATTATTTCTCGGATATTATATTTATTTTAACGCTGTGACGCAAAATTCTAGGGGGGGAATAAACTAGTATTCACCAAGTCAGGCTAGGCCTACCCCTGGAACCGGCCACACTCGAATTTCTTCCCCGGAGTGCTCAGAAGGAGCCGAGAAAAATCCAGGGGTCGATACGAAGTTGTCACGGCTTTGACTGATCAATTTATTAAAATTTAATCTAAGGCTCAGAGCTCTAGAAGCGCTCAGGAAATCCTGCAGACGCTCAGTTGGAGCTATATCATCCCAGCCTACGTTAAAAGTGTTTTGGAGAATTTCGCCTAACTTTTAGAATCACTCTGTAGGGCCGACGAGTATTCAATCTGAAGCCAATGTGGTTCAATTACTAGTAATGAGCTTTAAAATAATTAACTAAAGGCCTAGGTAAATAATATAGAACGAAATATAGCGTAAAATCAATTCCTACAGAGTCGTCGGGCCTAATTAATATAATCGAATGGAGAATTTATCGTGATATTGTTTAAAATAAATTTAGTATTAATTTTCGTAGCTGACTATTCAACTCAGCCTGCTCCCAAGACTTGATTCTTTCACCCGCCAAAGACGGGGTTTAGAACTCAGACGACAAGTCTCGGGGTATTAAAACGTTGAATTCTAAAAATATCTAAATAATAATTAATCGTTAAAACAAACGGAATAAACGTAATTTCGTAGCCAATTGATTCAAAACCAAACGTAAGATAATCCTCCGCTAGTCACTGGCAGGCAGGAACTGGCGGGTTTTATGCAGGTCGGCGAAAACGAAGTTATTAGAATTTAGAGGTTTAAGATCGAGTTCTGAAACGAGAATGCGTGCGTTAAACGAAAATAAAGTAAAACGTAGAAATGGTCTAACAATTAGAATAGCTAACCTTCGTAATATCGGCGATCGGCGGGAATGCGTAGTCTTGTAACGACGATGTTACTTCGTAGACGGCGTGTGAACGAATAACCCTGTCTTGGAGTAAAATCCTTCGTTCCTGCCCGCTTGAGGCTTACGCGCTCAAGCGGCGAACTTTAGTACTACTAGATAACAGCTGATCGAATTCACTTGTTGAGCTGGTCTAGTTTCGTCTGTCGTCTGTCAACAAATAAACACCAGTTTGGGGTTATGTCGTCGTCGGCGTTAAATATCTGTAAAATCGGCCGGATTAACTTTATTATGTGAAACGAAGTGCTATTATGAATAAATATGTAGTTATGGATGTGTTTGTGTACTTCACTGTGAATAAAAATAGGCCTACGTTCTTTGGCCCATAGCCCAAGCTATGGCCAACACATAGGCCTCGGAGTAGGCTATTGTGGTTAAAAATCGGGTAAGTTCTGATGTTCATTTATTCGTAGTACGTTTTTACCCCCCTTAAAATTTGGCACCTTACAACGCTGCGGAGCAGCATGGGTCCTCTAGCTAATTAGGTTTTTGTACAACACAGATTTAGTTGAGTTGGTAGCATTTGAACAGGCTCTACTAACTTGGCTAAGCTAAAAAAAAAAAATAATAACATGATTTTTATCAACATTTAACCTAAAATATTGAGCTAAATAAATATGAGACCTAAGCTGTTTCTCGGATTGGCTGGATGTAAATTGAGGGTTAATAGCCTACTGTTTTTGTGCTCACTTGTTTACTGTATTAATGTTTTGTTCTTAACCTGTTTATCTACTGTTTCAGCTGCTGGAGGAAAGGGATTCACTGCAATTGAGGCTTTCTGATGCAATCCGCTTCAACGAAGAGTTGCGAGCCAAGTCCTCTCTACTTGATGAAACAGCCTTTAAAATGGAAGGAGAGCTTGCTTCCCCACCACCTCAGTCAGACGATCCATCCAGTCATCAGCTAAAACAGAAGTAACACTTAATATATAACTTTTGCTCCATTTATTAGTCCAGGGGAAATTGTGCGTGTCCACCGACCGGCAAAACGTGGGTATTATGCGTGAATTTTGTATTTCTACCGGGAATTTTCAATTTACAGTAATCGCGTAAGACAACAGTGACATTTCCGCGACCGAGGGAGACGATGATGATGTCTATACAGGAACATGGAAGGTGATCAATATATTGCCACAATCGCGGGAGACCATTACCATATTAAAGGTAAATGAAAATATTAAAAAAAGTTTCAAAAGAAAACTTTATTACTACTAGAGGTGTGCCATGCTGACATTTTTTATCAGGCCAAAGTCGAGTCTACATGATGTCTACCACGGAAGACGATAATGATGTCTACACCGCCGCGGGAGACGACAATGATGTCCAAGCAGCCGTGACTGATGATCAGAATTTTTCCGCGATCGCACAAGACAATGATAATGTCCACATGACCCCGGGAAATGATCAGAATTTTGCCACATTCACGGAAGATGTTGATAATGTCTACACGACCGTGGGATATGGTTATGACGTTGCCACGATCGGGCAAGTGGATAACAATGTTTCCATTACTGTTATTCAGGATTTCGTTACAACCTCAGAAGACAGTGGTGATGTTACTGTAACTGAGGAAGATATTCAGGATTTTGCAGTGATCGTGGGAGACGATACTGATGACTCTACGACAGCAGTGGATGATCACAATATTACCTCGAGTTTGGCCTTTTCAAAAAGTTCAGGATGGCACACCTCTAGATGTTATAAAGTTTTCTTTTGAAACTTTTTTCAATTACTTCATTTACCTTTAATATGGTATTTTTTAAATGTGTTTATAGTGTTTTAAAACGTAAATTGGCTAGTTCGTTTTTTTATTGCTTCATTAATCTTTTCTTTGGGCTACTTTAAAAATAACCCATAACTTGAAAATTACATTCTTTTATATAGGCCTACATAAAGGCAGGGGTTGGTGTGTCATCCATACAAAAAGTTTGGTAACATTTGTTTAGTGGTATCGGTCTTGAGAATTGATTTTTTCAGGTATTGGTACGGAGAATCGATAAATTTTGGTATCAACACATCACTATTTTTCTATGAGATCATAAATTGCTGGTTTAACCAGTTTTAAATTTTCTGATTATTTAATCAGAGTAATAAAATTGCATATTTGTGTCAGGCAACATTATAGTAATCACAGACTGTGTTCCTTTAACTGATATAGCTTTTTTCGATAACTAAAATAGCGAGCTGCGTTAGCGCTAAAACAGCATTGCAGAGCAAGAAAATGCATTGGAATGTTTGGTATGAAAAGTACAACTTGCTTTACTTTTTTTATCAGCACTTGATATTATCTTACAGTTTAACAATTTTCTGGCTTTATCACAAACAGCTTTAAATATTCTCCTGTAATTTCGCTAATATTTTTGAAAATTAATGTCCTTGTTAGTTTTGGCAATAATACTCAATTGTCTCAGTGTTTCCATGAATGTCCCTGATGTGACATCTCCCAACCAAGTAGGCACAGTCAGAGCAAGATCACCACACCCATGCACCTGGGGAAATAAATAGTAGTAGTAATGTGGGCTCAGCATACCCATCCTTTACCAGAGGGAGGTTTTTCCATGGTTCAACTGGCTCATCCAGTAGGTCGGGCCACAAGGGGCCAACAGACTCTTGTCTCCGAGTGTCTCCCCTTATAAGTGCATACTTTTCCCTCAAATGAGAGGGGAATAGTACTCAGTACCGGGCCCTGGTACTTGGAAAAGTACTGAGGCAATTCCTGGGGTGAAAACGTCTACATATAACACATTGAAAGGCACATTTCTAGCTGTACCTAACTAAATCTCTTAATTTAAGTTAATAAAGATTGATTGAAAATGAAATCAATATGAAAGATACATGAGTGTTGTCTGTGTAGGCTGGACCAGTTGCACAACGTAGGTTATCGCAGAGACCCGGCCATGCAGCAGGATCAACAGAGAAGACATCAGGAACAGATGCATCTCTACACACAACCCCAACGTATGTATCACTGTGAACACTAGCTAAATCATTCATAAATTGAGCACCACTTGGTTAAGTTTTCAGTAACTCGATCAAGTTTATCTTTAAGGATAATAGGCTAAATTAATGTGTAAGGCAAAACGTTTTGAAAATTTTGTCACGTGGTACCTCCATTTATAAAAACAAATTGATATTTTTTAGTCTTTGATATTTTTTTAAATTTTCAAACACAAAAATTGATTATGTATTGTGGTTATGATAGTTAAATAGTTTGAGTTTAGTAACGTGTTTCTATTTAGAGTCATTGTTCCTGTTTAATAGGTGTTCTGTTACCTCAATTTTTGTGTTTTTGTCACTCCTTAGTACTGGGCCTCGCTTATTTACATCAAACCCTCTTAGATGGTTCTTTTACATCATCACAATAGTTTGAAAGATGTCAAAAACAAGTTTTTGAGTACCAAGATGAATGTAATATTTAATCCACTGTAATAATGAATTGCGATGTCTTTGTATTGTGTGAGTGTGCAAAGAATAGGTTTTAGGCTTCGTATCCCTAGATTGGGGGTATTTCAGGGTTGGGTTTTATTTGGTGGAGGTTGAGTGGGGGGGGGGGGGTGCAATACTGAATGGTTTTCTCCAGGAGCTCTCTACAAAGGAGTTTTAAATGTTTACTATTGTAAAACATATTCTAGGTTATACAGTTCTTTTGTCTTAAATGTTAAAAAGATCATCCAATATTTTCCTACAGTTTATTTTTTGTACTTTTTACCAACTTTGAGGAAGGAACCATGCTCTTAGAACCTCTGGCTAAGCCAATGCCTGGTCCCTTCCCTTCAACAGGTGTTCTGTAACCTAAAATCTTTTACTTTATTTACAGCTCAGGACGACTCCCAGTCATCTGGAGGATTTTTCAGTTGGATATTTGGAAGCAGGTAATGACATTTAGATATTTGCTAAGCCTAATATTTGAGTACTAGCAACAGAGCCCACTGTGGTTAAAAACATTGGTCTCTAGGAAAATAACAGTTATGAAATTCATGCACCACTTTACTCACTAATGTTAATGGTACACAATAAGCACATAACTGCAGAAACACACACATAACATAAGGCACTTTAATACAAATGCAAATTGTGAACAACAACATGCAAACAAAGAAACATTAATGAAATAACAATACAACAATCAGCTGTTAAATTATCAACACATGTTTTATGATTAGATGATGCCTACCGGTAAACCCATTACTGCCACAAATCTTTAAAAAATCAAACTTTCATAATCTACATGCATCGAAGCTTTCCATAGACATATTATTTAATAAAATCTGTCAAGTAGAACTGTATATTTAATTATATAAAGTTTAACAAAAATATCTGTTACTCAGTATTTTCTAACAACTATAAAATTGCTTGGCATAATAATTGGAGGTTGATTAGCCCTTTTGCAAATAACTTTTAAATGGGGAGGAAATCTACCAAAGTGGAAAGTGAAATTTTTAAAGAGAATAATATTTCCTACAAATTAATACCGTGTATTTTATGAAAATACTCAATAAAGGTAGGCTAAAGTTGGCTACAAATAGAAGCTTGTAAATAGAAACTTGAATAAAGCAGTTTTTTTTATGTATTCTTGTTTTCTTTTTTTTTTTACTACTAATGTTTTATAATATCCAATCTTTATAATTATTTGCAAATCTACACAAATTAGGTTTTTTAACAACCCATTAATTGACAAAATCGATCCAGTAGAATTGTAGATTTAGTTATACAAAAGTTTAACTAAAATATCTCTAACTCAGTATTTTCTCCCCACTATAAATTCGGAACTTGCTTAGCTATTTTGCAAATAACTTTTAAATGTTGGGGAAACCAAGTAAAGTAGACGGTGATATTCTTAAGGAGAATATAATTTCCTACAAATTAGTACAATGAATTTATTGAAACTTCCTAAAATAGGCAGTCATAAGTTGTCTCAAATTAAAAATGTGAAAATCACAATACTATTTAATATATTCTTATTGAAAACATGTTTTACTTTTAATAAAAAATGTGTGCATTTAGCGTTTGTTTTAATTTTTGGTACTTACATTTTTAGTATGCTCTAGTGGCGTAACGGTTTGTGTAGAAACAAATGCTACATACGAAACTTGTAGTAAATTTTGTCTTCTTTAATTTTACAAAGTAGTGTCTTTTCAAAAAACCTATAATTACTGAGATTTCGCCCAAAAACCTAATAAAGTTACCAAATTTTAAAGTTTTTTGCAAAATAAACAATGTGTCGGGCATAATATCTGTCAGCAAACCTCATATTCCTGTGGTGATTAGGACTGTACCTAAACTTTCCACTAACTTTCCTAATATGCCCAGACTAGTAAAGGTAGTAAAATTTTGTGTGCAGGAGACAATGTTGGGATGGGACATTTTCGACGTGTCTGAACTGGTGAGCAATGTGGTCTAGTGGTAGAACCCGGGGCTTTGGTCCCTGAGGTCCTGGATTTAAATTCCCGTTGATCACCAATCTATTTTATCCATATGATAATGCCACTACCCTCTAGGCATTGCCTGAAAGTACATGACTTGTAAAATGATTCCGAACAAGAGCCATAACACCTACCCAGGATGTGCGTAGTGACATTGTCCTAGGATGTTAAAGTAGGGGATAACAAACATTTAAATCTAAACTCATTTATAGATATTGATAATTGGAATTTAATTTTTTGTATTTTAAAATTTTCTTCATTTCTGTTTCAGCTCCTCTGGTCCGCAGGATATCTGATCTTCTACTGTATTCCATTCTCGTAAACTCCAGTAGTTTGTAGAGAAATATATAAACAAACACTTTTGTTATTGAGCTTACAAACTGTATGTTCTCAATTGAAAGGGTCAATATGTGCATTAACTTGAGTTTCACCTTTGACTATGGAGAGTATTAGACATCCCATTCCTATATAAAAGTTGTTGTCAGTATTACAGTTGAATTAAAATGTTTGAGTTGAATTGGTCGTGCTGCTACCAATTACTGATTTCTGCTGCATATACCAACTTTGTCAAACTGAAAAGACAACTTATTGTAAACTAATTTTCTGTCACAAAAATTACCAAAAAAAAATAATAATATAAGACAGTCTGTGAGCAGCTCATATAACTATGTTCCATTTCAATGGAAAGTTGGGTACGGCTGGTTCATATATTTTATTTTGCTTGTTTTTTACGCCAAAGGAAACGGTCCAAACCCTAGTCTTGTTACTAGGGTCTAGAAAATATCTTTCTAGGAAACGAACCAGCGACCCTCAGATTTGAAGTCGAGCACTATAACCACTCGGCTACCCAGACAAATTCAAATTACAATATAGATGGGATATCTTCTACCTTATATCCTAAAGTCACCACAATAACAGCCATTGCTCTTTGAATTTTAAGACAGTTTTGTTTTTATACTAACATTCCAGATATTTAAAAAAACTCGTTCAAACTTTTTACTAAACTGAAATTTCAATCCTTTTCAAACTGTCTTGCTGTTTCAATTATTTGAATGGTATCAAAAGGTGCTGCAAAACCTAAAGCCTAAATAAATATGAAGTATTTTTTACAAGTTATGTTCTTGTGTTTTTGGATTTTTATGTGAATGTTTACAGGGAAAAGTTTAATAGGGTTTTTTTATGATTGCACCGCTTTATTAATTTGTGTGAATAAATGTTTTTAAGAGCTTGGGTGTTGTGATTGAAACTGTTGAAACTAATTGTAAAAAATGTAAAATAAAATAAACTGTGCAGAATGTAGAATATAAAAGCTACAAATCGTATTTGTAGATGTGTATTTTTAATCAATAAAAGTGTTAGTGCAGTATTTTGTTACATTCTCAATAATTTCCAAACCAAACATTAAAAATGTTGATGTCTCTTTTAAATATTTAGAGATAGTTTTAACACTACAGTAAATTGCCATTGTTTCAAATTACCTTGAAGCACACAATAATATACCCTATATATCTTCTCCATTATATCCCTCATATAGTTCATTATACTCATTTGAAGTTGTAGTCAGTTAGCTCCAAAAGAGCGGGGGAGTGGGGTCCGAACAGTTGGGTTCGATTAGGTGTCTTTCACCACTCAGGAGCACTTTGGTTTATTCGCCTGCAGGCATTCGTTGAGACGGGAGGTAGATATTTCATTGTGTCGTCATTCCAACATGGAGCGTACCATTTAGCAACGCTGTGAAGTTTTGCTTTAAACTCGGAAGATCCGCGTCTGAGACCCTTGCCCTCATCAAACAGGTTTATGGGGAAGGCCGGGAACTCGTCCACCGCATCGGACCCCCGACGACCGCTCAAACCGAGGCTCACAAGATCAAAGTGAAAGAAGTTTTGGATTCTGACCGGCACCTAACCCTCGCCCACACCAGTGAGAAGACCGGCCTTTCAGTGGGAACCATCCACACTATCGTAACGGAGAATCTAGCTATGAGAAGAGTACGCGCAAAGCTGATGCCGATACTCCTGAGAGATGAACAAAAACTGTCAAGGGTGGAGATTTCGCAATAAATTTTGGACCTCGTCCTGCGAGATCAAAATTTTCTGGACAATGTTATTACCTGCTGTGTGTTCCAGTATTGTGAACAAAATGTTCGAGTTGAGGGCAAGGGCCACTTACGCAGATTTTCCGAGTTTAAAGCAAAACATCACAGCGTTCTTCGACGGTAGGTACGCTCCATGTTGGCGTGACGACACAATGAAAAACACTCGGCGTAAATATCGACATCCTGTCTCAACGAATGCCCTTAAGCTACTAAACCAAAGTGCTTCTGAATGGTGAAGGACCCCTCTATCGAACCCAACCTGTGACACCCCCCTTCACTGCTGCTACAAAGAACCAGTCCGCAGTGGACCCTGTATCACATTCTCTAAACATATACTTTTTATCATGCAAAACTGAAGGGCAGCAATGTAAATAATTATCTTTTCATTACTCTACACACGAAAGTACACTTTCTAAACGTAAAATGAGATAAGAAAATAGGTAATTCCCGCTACTGCACGGAAAAGTTACATAACGTTAACTTTCCGTGCGTATGTACTGCACGGAAAGTAACCGCTATGGGATTTTGCGGTGCAGTCAGATCAGCTGATTGTATTGTTGTTGAAAACACATTCCTCGCTTATATATTGACATTGTCAGTTAGGTTATGTTTGTTGAGATAGATTCTTTGAACTATGTGTACTAATATGGATAATATTCCTGAAACTTTGATGAACAGAGCGGTAAGTGTAACAAACGAATTATTGCCTGATGTGTCGCGTTTAAGATACGAAAATGAATACGATAAGCTTTGTACTTGGTGTCAAAAAGAAAACATTAAACCTAGCCAGGTTAATGATGACATACTTCTAGTCTATATGTCAGAACTGTCGAAAACTATGAAACCTAGCACCTTGTGGAGCAAGTATTCAATGGTTAAAAATGTCTTAAAAGTAAAAGAAAATCTTGGAAATTTAAAATTTCCAAAAACAGTTGCATTTTTAAAGAAAAAGTCTGTTGGTTTCAAACCTAAAAAAGCGAATGTTTTTACATCTGATCAAATTTCTCAGTTCATGATCAACGCTCCCGACAAAGAATGGTTGTTAAGTAAAGTAATTTTGACGTTTGGCATTTTTGGAGCCCTTAGGCGAGATGATCTATTACGCCTTAGCATAAATGACGTAAAAGATTATGGCAGTTTCATTAAGGTTACATTGAGAGATGGTAAAACACATGCTAGCAGAAGTTTCATCATTACAGACGATGAATGTACGTATCAACCCTGCCAGCTAGTACGTAAATATTTGTCTTTACGCCCATCAAAAATGACGAGCCCTAGACTTTTTGTTGGCTTCAGGCAAGGCAAGTGCGTAGCACAACATGTCGGGAGTCATACGATTTCGGATGTTCCCAAAAAGGTCGCCCAGTACCTTAAGCTAGAACAGCCTGAATCCTACACAGGTCATGCTATTCGACGCACATCCGCGTCAATGCTGGTGGAAGGGGGAGCGGATTTACTCACACTCAAGAGGCACGGAGGCTGGAAAAGTGCAACCGTTGCTGAAGGTTACATTGAGGAGTCCATAAATAGAAAAATTGATGTGTCTAAAAAACTTTTTTCAAAACCAAGTACTTCAATCTCAAATCAAAACAATTCCTCTTTGAATTTACTTCCAATCAGAGACATTACTAATTCAATTTCAAATTACAACAATTCCTCTTTGGATTCACTGCCACTCAATAACATTTCTAACAATGATGAAGAGGTGAATCTGGTTTCAAAACAATATTTTACAATCGACGATGTAATTTCATCAGAAGAAGATACTGTGCAAAATCGCAATTTCATTCAAGAAAATAATAAAGTTGATGGAACACACTCGGAAGTCAATGTTGCAGAAATGAGAAAAAACCTAAAGCTACCACAAAAAATGTTAAACATAAGTGAAAATCAAAACTGCGACTTTAACATACATTTTCATTTTCATTAATAAAGATTTATCAGCGTGTTGATCCTATGTAATCATCAAAGGTCTCTTTCTTTATTTGTTTATTCATCAGCTTGTTCTGTAGTTAATTTAATAAAGATACTTTTTTTTACCCAAAATAGTCTGTTTTTCCTCAAACTATTGGCCATGCAATTATTAATAAGTGCACGGAAAAAACTCATAACGTTAAGTTTCCGTGCTTATGTCGAGGTACATACACACGGAAAGTTAGCGTTATGAGTTTTTTCCGTGCACTTATTAATAATTCAGAGTTGAGTTTTTTTTCATTAGTTCGGTTTTTTCTCTTAATACTAAGTTAAATAAACGAAAATTTTCATGTTTTTATAAGTTTTCGGTATCGTAATGAAAAATAATGTTCAATACTCGCCTCGAAAGTGTCATTGCGGGGCACGATGGCGTTTCCAGCGCTCGGCTTCGCCTCGCGCGAAAATGCCATCTCTCCCCGCAATGAGTCACTTTCCAGTCTAGTAATGAAAACTACTATTACTGGCCATATAAACCATCACAGCATAAATGATTAAAAGAGACCTTGTACGTTCTATGAGAGTCTCCTTCAACTGTGTTCTCTTTGTTTGAAAAGCTGCCTACTGCTGGTTTATATACTTCAGTATCTAGTGTGAATATTATTACTTTAACGCACATCATTGTCATCTTGACTCTCAGTTGTACAATGTTTTGTTGAGTGGAGTGGTTTAAAGCAAATGCATCTGTTTCATCCACACTGCTCTACACTTAGTTCACACCAACACATGATGATATTTACATCCACACTAAGTTCCTGACAAAGTCTATTTGTACCTTTTTTTAGGTTGTAACTTTGTTCAAGTCATGTTGTATGGTGTCCGTTATTTAAAATCGATGAGCCCTATCCCATGTGTTGTTCATTGATTTAATTATGCCAATTATTGTTTGTGTTTTCCCTCCTTGTATGAAACACAATGATTCTAGTTTTTAAAACAAACTTTGTTTGAAAACCAGTAAAACCACACAAACAGCACGGACAAGTAAAAAGTAACAAAATGCCTGATAATGCAACACACAAAGAGTTTGTCTATTCTGTTAACCTCTGCCCAATTACTTTAGGTGGGGCTCATGAGTTACATACTAGACCTGGGGTTTTGTCCGTCTATCTTGCCATCATGGTTGAATTGAACTCAATGAATTGCCATGTTTTCATTTCATGAAGATTGTAATGTTTTAAGCAATTTTAGTTTTGGTTAGAAAAACGTTTGTTCATATTTACTTTCTTAAATGTTTTTTGTAGCCTTCGAACCATAATATGAAGTTTAAAATGTTGTACTGTTTACTCACATAGTGCTGTTTTATGAAAGCAAACAATCTACACAATAAATCTACATTTTACTTGAACTGTATGTAAAAGATCTAAACCAGTTAGAGAGTTTCATCAGTCTCAGCTTTCGCTACAGATACACTAGGTGAAGTAGACATTCCATTAATAAGTTAAAAGTTATAGACAGTTTTATAAAAGAGAAATCTCATCAATTGATCCACTGACCGAGGATTATGTTGATGTGTTATGTTCAATGTTATGATTATGTTCAATTATAGTCTCTTATGTTTAAACCAACTATGATGAAAAATTAAAAGAGAAGACAAAACTTTATAGTAACACATTTAATAAGAGGCTTTAATATTCCACTTGTCCTCTTTGAATAAGCAATTGCTTACAGCAGCTGGTCTATTTAGATGAGAATTCTCTGCAATCACTGCATTTTGACAAAACCTGAATTAGATAAAGGATATAAAATAACGCAGGTATTAGTAATACAATTACAAAGGTTCTACTGGAAATGTATATTTATTTGAAACAGAAGGTACAGCAGTAGCATGTTGTATGGAACCTGAGGTATATCTATATATATATATCTGATCAACTACTAAAACTACAACAGAACTTATTGATAATTTTATTGATAAAAATCGGATATGGTGACTATATTTGATTGAATCATTGACTGGTACATACTTGGTATGGTAAAACTAAACTTAACTGTATGGTGCACATTTTTTCTTATAAGTATATATTTCCATAAAGATTACAATTTTAATAAAATCTGCGAACTCTCAAAAATATTTCTTTAAAATACAACATATAATGCGAATCGATTAACAATCTAATAAAACGATATGTATAATAATATAATATATATATAAAACACTATAAGCTCTATATAAAATATAAGAAGCACAGCGATATCTACAAACTATATACAGGAGGTGTTAAGTAATATTTGTCGTATGTACAAAAGTTATGACTAAACGGTTAAAGGTTCAATGGCACTTGACTCGACTATTGCACTACGGTATTCTAACTGAGGAGGTACATAGTTGCTGAGCACCGCAGAATTACTGGAACCGGTTAAGTACAAAAACGGATTGAGCAAAACGGTCCGAAAAGATACTGTGAACGTAAATAACGACTACTGTACAAAATAAGCCCACTAATTGTATACAGGATGCATTACAGGCATTGCTGAGGGAAATTCCCTTACGAATTCTAGGAACCTAATTGTTACTCGTAGGATGTATAACCGACTTACGCTATATACATGACTCGATTTGACTAAACTTTACACTAACCAATAAACATCTAAATATACGTCAAACTAAAATAAAACTTACGGTATTAAGAGCTCCGAGTGTTCTACCTCTAACTGTAACAGTAACAAAGCGTAATTGATTGCCTTCCCCGTAGAGCCGGAGTGTTTCCTAGCTCGTTTTCTCCGATGCCGCTCAATCGCACAACCACAGGAACGTCTTAATTCGACCAGTCTTACCTTCGAAACTCCTAGTCTTTAATATTTATCACAATACAAATGCCCTAGTGGCGCAGTGCTAGTGGCGTCAGAAGTGAATATCACGGACGTCCGTGGGTGTCTCAGCTTTGGCGTGTTGCGCGGCGTGCTGAGGCTGCGGCTGCTCCAGGAGCTTCTCTGATTGGTCCACCACTGGAGGCCGTTCTACACTTGGCTCTGAGGATAACTTGGTGTTGGAGATGGCCGAAGTGACCATCTCTTCAATCTGGGACAAACAGCTTTGGAGATAGTCCTGGAACAAACAATACAATTGTAAATAGGAAAACTAATTTACCAACCTTTATTTTTTCATGTAGCCTAATTGTATTTTGAAAATGTATTTATTTGATGTACCCCTTTTGAGGGAAAATCAATAAAAGAATGATGATGATGATTAGACAGCTGCGGACTCAGTCTGTAACTTAACTATGTAGGCCTAATACCAATTATCATTCATTCATTTTTGAGTGAACCCATATCAATCAAACACTGATCACATAAAATGTAGTGCAATTCATGAGCACAAACACTGCGATGAAAACAAAATTATATGAATAGCAACTTCAAAAATCAATGAAGGTGGAGCTAAAGTTTTTTGCAAATCAGAGAAACCCCAACCAATAAAGTACAATGAATCGCCACAGTGATTTAAAAAAATGCAGTCACATGATGAAAACTGTGTAATGAGTTTCTATTATGTGGAGCCGTGATGAGAGTGGATGATTGGTCCTTTGTGTGAAGGGGGCCACTTAGATGCGGGTTAGCTCAAGGCTGAAACAGCAAATCCATTCTGATGTCAGGGTCACTATATGGGGTTAAATGGGGAAAACGTAAAATTTGCCTTTTTGTTAAGAAATTATGATGCATTTGGTTGGATTTTTAAAGAATGGAAAACATAAGTATCAATCCAGTTTGATATCATTGTCATTGAAAAAAGAAAACGTTGAATCTGTGTTTCCATTTATAAAATGAAGACAATGGGACTTGTAAACATCTTATTTTTTCAAAATGACATCATTATGAAGTCTAAACTTATAAAGTCACTTTAGCGTTTAACAAGTATTTTTTCCTCAGGAGATTATGCCAAAGGAAGTTCTATGATATAGCTGAGTAGTTAATTAATGCTCAGCTACAAATCAGAAGTTTACCGGTTCATCTAAGGTGGTTCAAAACGGGACCCGGATGTCCGATCATTATGGGATTTTATAAATAGTCCAGTCTAAAGAACCAGTTCAGTACCAAAGCTATCATCTCATCCATTCCACCCACATCTACTCATCTTCACCTTAGAATATAGGCCATACCCCATGTGTCTCATCATCTTTTATTTTATAGAAACTTATGATTTGTTTTAGATACTGTAGTTGTTTCAAGTATAAAGTATTTACCATCTCAATGTGCAGTATCCTCTGCAGCCTAAGCAGTAGTTCAGGCAAAGGAACATTGTTCTTGGAGGTCCAGTCGAGGCCATGCAGAGCAGCGGCGACACTGGCTGCGGATATCATACTGGCTGTGTATCTGCAGAACTTGTAGTCTGGAAACAAACGATGGCAATTATTGTGTGCATTCTCAGTGTAAAAAAAATTATGTGAAAGTGTATTTGAAGAATTGAAAAAAAAAGAAACAGCAAGTTCTGTAAGTGGTTGTTTGGGATTTTTGTGGCTTCATTTTTTACAACTAGAAGCATTGGTCCACTATATACACACATAAGTTGTACTACTGTATAGCTCATCCTAAATTAAACGTGTTTAATTGTTAAAAAATAATTTGTTGCATGGCGAGGCCAAATACCACCTTGGGTATCGATGGCCATGGGAGTAAGAGTAAGTAAGTAAGTATAAGAAGGGTAAAATCAAAATGTCCTGTATAACTTTTTACAATCAATACACTACATTTCAATATTGTATTATTTACAACATCTATAGTCTTATGCTTCAGTGGATGCTGTTTTTACAATTTTAATTCTAATTCCATCAACTAACAAAATACATTAGAATGTAGAATATTATTTGATTAAATGGCATTTTTTAGAATGACGTCCAAGTAAAAGAAATTTCTTGTGAAACTTTCTCACATCCCATAATATTGCCAGATTCCTTTGATTAATTATGTAATTATACAGTGTAGTGTAAATCTCAAAACACCTTTTAAGCCTTTTTCATGCAACATATTACACTGGCGACCTTCCAATTCTGATCTCATTTCAACTTGGGAGAAAAGGACCAATCACACGATAAAATCAATCAATTTTTCCCTGCATTAAAAAATAATTGTTAACCTTGATGAGTGTAAGGCTGGTTTAAGGGTGGGGGTGCGTCAGCGGTAAGAGTAAATGGGTAATGGTAATGTACAATAGCCGGAGAATGCGACGGGCTGTGTGGCCTGGTGTCCTTGTGGCTGGGCGGTCCACGGCGTGTGTGTGAGTGTGAACGCTCGCGTGTGTATGTGAACACCGTGAGAAACGCAGACTACTCGGCCTCTTTTCAAACAAGTAAATATAGTTCGTCCGCCGAAAGAACAGGTCTTCAGGTCTTCACACAAAGGATGTGTAAGGCATGTTGCCGACTTTGAGAAGAAGGCGTTGTCGGACAAGGGATTGGCTAGGATTAATTGGTCTCATGTTGGAATTTGTGTGAACGGAGTTTAATGAAAAAGTACGAATCGATTTTTGACACTTCGACTCAACATTCGCGTTGCTCCATAGGGAAGGGAACTTTGTGGAATAAAATACCCACTTAAGGTTCAAACTATGAATTTTTTACAAATATTTTCGCTTTGAAAATAAAAATAAAAAAAAATTATTCTAAAAACACTTAAAAAAGTTTCATTTAGTGGTTCACGTTATGAAGTAGTTTTTTCCAATAATCAACCACATTGCAACTTTTTTAAATTTGTACAACATAATTTTTCCCCCTTGCGTCTTTTACGTAGGTAGTAAGTACGTCTTTTTGGCATATATTTAAGTTCCGTTGACCCACAATTAGACCATCACGAGTTGAATTGTAAATCCCGATAAGTTATTGATGAATGCGAGCTTTAAGGTTGTTCTGACTGAGGTATTTAAAAGTTAAATCAATCACGCTTTAAATCTTTGAGTCGATTTACAAGCATATGCATTGAGCGATTTAAAAGCCTCCTTGGGCGATTTTTCCAGATATTAACCTAGATATTAACCACTTTTGTAAATGTTAACTGCTATATGCGTTGAATTTTGCTGATGCTTCATCGAAATATTGTATACGACTTTTAGATTAAAATATTGTTTTGACTATTGACACTACAGACTAAAATAGTATATTTCACTGTAATGTTTAGATCTGCGGTTTTTAAAAGTTGAATCGATCACGCTAAACCTAAACAAACCTTTCGGTTTGATATTCTTGAATAGTTGACTGCCATTGATCACAATAATATGGCGATGCTATACACATATTGTTTAAGGGACGTTATTTTAAAATCGTTCTATGTGTTTATGCTGATGTTATGTTAAACCGACTTGTTTGGGAGTTTTTTTGCAACTATCGTTCTTTGTCTGTTTGGCAGTAATAGCTTGCGTATGTTTCACTAGAAAGTTATTGCAAACAAAATATTAATCACGAATTCCTAGAACAATCATCATCATGCTCTGTGTTTGAACGTTCCTATCGCTCCAGACTCTGTTGTTCCCAGCCCGAGACCTCTACAGGGAGGTCGTCGCGTCGTCGCGCCGCTGCCCCAAAGAGGCCCCTAACGTCTGGTTCTTTATCAGGGCCACGAGATATGCTGATTTTCATGCCGTTGCACTCTAGCCGCCATCTTGGACACCTTATCGATATTTGCACACTTCCTGTCGCCTCTCGAGAGCAGCCTGTGATTGGTCGATGGTCGCAGAGTTCACACTCGTGTCGGGACGAAGCAAGGTCGCTATATCGATTGCACGATTTGCCTTTTCGATCTTTAGGGTCATTTTTAAAATTTAATCGCGCATCTCATTGGGAAACATACAAAAATGTGGAATTCATTGATAATTTCCGTGCGTCAGTTCGTGTTTCGCTTCTTGTGGCAGACTTTCAGTTTCAAGAGAATTCTTCACGAGAAAGTTTTCTTCGTCGATTTAAACTCTGTATGAGATTAAAATACCAAAACAACCGTCACGTTTAATCAGTGGCGAGGCAATTCTACAAAATGAGTCCGGACAAAAGAATAACTATCACAACGAACGGTGTGATAGAATTACGTAAAAAAAGACTTGTTACAGTACGTACAATTGTATAGTCAAACCCAAATCAATGTCTTATCAAATCAAGTATTCCAAGCAACCCTAACCGACTTGAGAACTAATGGACTTATAAGTGCCCATACAAATGTTTTCCGCAAAACAATGTGTTTACAAAGTGGTTTTGTAGATCACTAACAACCCTAAAAGAAATATTTAAAATCAAACACATCTCCGGCCTACTTGAGAAGTTGTGACCTTGTTGTCTATGCAAATGCAAACGTTTTCCAAGAAAGATGAATCACGGTGATGCAAGAAAGAGTCTTATAACGGACGAGGGAAGCAGACGCAGACTTACTGACGTGTGAAGTGAATACTGGGAAGTGTACCGTGACGATCTACGTGGCGTCTGTCTGTTGTGGATCATCATACACCCATACACCGGTACAATCCCACTCAGCAGGCCTATCTGACAATGTGTACCTTCATTTCTTCAATAAGAATACTTACAGATATGAAATTGATATATTGATATTATACTATAAAACTGAAATGATTGATGAAAATGGTGGTTTAACATTGTATATTTTAGACTCGTAAATCCTAAATCAATCAAACTTGTCATAACAATTTTCCCTTTTTCTTCACATTTACGCGAATCCATCAGAAATTTAAAGCGAACACGACTTCAACACGCACACGTACGTGAAAACACACGTACCGCCCCAGACGCAATCATTCATTGAAATCGAAACAAAGAAACCGACAGTCGATGTTAGCGGGGCGCGTAGTACACAGCGGGAATGAATGAATCGATGTTTTTAGAAAGACTACAGTCGAATATGGACGCAGCATTCTTTAAGATAGGATGTTGCTATGACGCTTATTTGAAGGTCGCAGTGATCACTAAACGCCGCCGGGCAAGGGGGAGGGAGTTTCCGGCCCCTCCCCCACACACAGATAACTATGATATACTGACCGTATACAATTTGGGCAGCGGACACGGACTGGTTCAAACAATAAAACATTAAGCCGTGGGTCGCGGGAAGAAATCATGATGAACAAGATCCATATCGTTAGTTGCTTTACTGAGTCGCCCCTCGCCTGGGTATTTGTACATTAGTTTATGAAGCGGACTTCGAAAGTATTATACAGATTGTTAAAGAAAAAACAATGCAAGTAAGAAAAATTTGTCACAAAATCTTTGTGACTTCTAGAGTCACCGTCACCTGGAGTATTTTTTTAAATTTCCTTTCAAATCCGAACTTCGAGAAAATATCCTATTGATGGTTAAGTAAAGAATTTAAAATATAGGTAATAACAAGATAAGTTAAATAGGCTCAAATTCAACAATGTAACAATGTAAAGTCCAACTTTTGATTTATTGCTAAGTTTGACATAAAATGCGAAATAAAGTTTCTAGACGAGATAACGTGGAAACCAACTGTGTTGTTTATGCAACAAAATGCAACAACTTATTTACTTTGCATTTCCGATGCATCAAGATAATAGCGTGATAAGAAACGAAGAAAAAACCTAAACGAGACTTTAAATTCGTAATGCAATCATTTAACTTGTTAGAATGTGTTACAATGAGCAATACACTCCAGTCCAGTGTTTGGGGGGCTTTTAATCCGGAATGAAAACATTTTGCTACACATTTGTGACAGCTAGATCCATTGAGAGATTTAAAGCCGCGTTTACACCGGAGTTTGAAACACGAGTTGCAAACAGAAATTGCAAACATCTCTAAAAACGCACATTTTTAGACGAAACATTTTGCTGTTGCAAACAGTTTTTCAGTGTTTGCAACAGAAATTTTTGTTTCCACTTGAAGTCGGTAAAGATCAAAGGGAGTTGCAAACTCTTTGTTTGCAACACTAGTTTCGGTCACTATGAGCCGTTGAAACACGAAACAGAAACATTTCTCCGCCATCCCCTTCCCTACATCCTCCACTCTCACTCACGACGTGATCACTCGCACCACCCTGTGTCTCGACTCAGTGTTAAATTAATCGGAAAAATGCTGTTTGACTGTCAATGAATTAACACTAACCTCAAATGACAAGGTCGTCTAATTTAAAAATAACAATAACGTCTCATGTGGATTAAAAGACTTATAATTAAGTCCTTGTAATCTTTAAAATTAATAATAATTTTAATTTGATGATTCATACAATCACCAATGTTCACCCAGCATCGTCTCGGCCTACGTTGATATGACAACACGACACACGCCGCCGCGGCTATCCTCGACACTTGACATCCTCGGAATAATCAGAACCAGAACGAGGCGAGTCATAATCAAGGTCGAAATTATTTCAAACATTTTCATGAAACGTGGAAACAAATCATGAAATAAAAATTGCAAACATTTATTTGAAACTACTGTTTGCAACTGCTGTTTGCAATAAAAGTTTGCAACTTTTTGTTTGAAACTCCGGTGTAAACGCGGCTTAAGAACCATCTTTGTAACTATTTTGTAATTGGAGATTGAATAGTTTGAACTCGGTGCAACATTGTAGCCGGTTTATCACTGGTGCCTTGTTGACGTACAGAGTTTAAGTTCAATCAGCTGTTTTTAGCCTCTTATCTTATCCAATGAATGGGCAAGTCAGATGGTCATTGCCAGTCATTAGTAATTCTAGCCTCTCTAGTTTAATTAGCATTTCCTGTCTCCCAAAACCAACTCACTTTGTTCGTCTTATATCACCGTCAGGAACAGAAATGTCGGGATATCAGTGATAACACCTTATTAATGTACGGTAGTTTATTTTCACCAGGATTATTTCGTAGATTGTTCCAATTTAGTTCCTTAGTTATGGTAGTTTTACTTAGTCCTTTGCCTTATAAACCAATCGAAACTTAAACAATAGGTCTAAAATCTAAACAAAATAAAGCTGTTGATATGTTCAAGTTGTCAAATATAGGGTATAGCCAACTAAAAAAAAAAACAAAAAAAAAACCTAAGGTTACAAATGTTTGATTGAATAGTACTTTTTTTTACAGTAGGTGTAACGAAAAAATGTGGTAGGACCACATTTGAGCTTAAACTAAATATTCACTTACATACTACACAGAAGTAGGCATTCCATTCCTATGTTAAATTTATAGCAATTTTTCGTTTCAAAAATGACTTGTATAATAACTGAAACACTGTTTGGGTGTCCTATGAAATGCCCCTTTGGCTGTTTTAATCAAATCATACATAAATAAAACCTACAGCAGCCATAGCATAGAACCTTTTGTCCCCACTATCAAATTATAGAAAATTTATAGAAAAATATACAAGAGCGACACACACTCTGATAGTGGCTCTATATCTAATTAATAAATTCATTTATGTTCTCTTTTGTAAACAATTTCGACAGCGGATCCATGAATGGAATGTCTTATTCAGTGCCCAAAGCCAACATTAGCAAGAATTGAACACTCGTACCTCTGGCACACAGGGCGATGAAGGTTTGGGCGTGTCGTCGGACCATGTGACACTCGCAGGACTGAAGATCTAGAGGAACTCTGGCGAGAATGTGACTGACAAAGTCATACGCCGTCACTGCGGATATCTCCCACTTGAGCTTGGCTAAGACCAGGACCTCCCACCTCTGAAACAGGGACACTGTCAGGACCATGGCAGACGAGGACGTGGTCGGGGAGGATTTAGAACTTAGGGGAGAAAGCTACTGTACGCCATGCAAGAATTGGCTCATCTAAGACCAGGACCTCCCACCTCTGAAACAGGGAGACTGTCAGGACCATGGCAGGCGAGGACGTGGTCGGGGAGGATTTAGAACTTAGGGGAGAAAGCTACTGTACGCCATGCAAGAATTGGCTCATCTTAGACCAGGACCTCCCACCTCTGAAACAGGGAGACTGTCAGGACCATGGCAGACGAGGACGTGGTCGGGCAGGATTTAGAACTTAAGGGAGAAAGCTACTGTACGCCATGCAAGAATTGGTTCATCTTAGACCAGGACCTCCCACCTCTGAAACAGGGAGACTGTTTAGGACCATGGCAACGAGGACGTGGTCGGGGAGGATTTAGAACTTAGGGGAGAAAGCTACTGTACGCCATGCAAGAATTGGCTCATCTTAGACCAGAACCTCCCACCTCTGAAACAGGGAGACTGTCAGGACCATGGCAGACGAGGACGTGGTCGGGGAGGATTTAGAACTTAGGGGAGAAAGCTACTGTATGCCATGCAAGAATTGGCTCTTCTTAGTGGAAAGCTGCACAGCGCAAGAATTGCAATTTATCCATAGTAAATATTATTCAATAGAAAGCTACAATCGTGTTAGGAACTCTTTTTGCGTGGAAGCATAATAATAGTAATGTAATATAGATAGGCTGAAAGTTTAAAAGACGCTATTAGATTGGAGTTGGTAGATCAAGATGGGAACAAATAGGATTCTTGTGATATGGGGGAAAAGGTTAAGATTGTTGGTAGATGGTCTACAGGCAGTTGAAGGGTTGTTCTTACGTATAAAATAACTTTTAACAAACTATAACTGGAAGTCAGAAAAGATCATTTTAGCGATCTTAATATGTATAGGCTTATGCTTAACTATCTATAACCCGATTCCTTCCGCGGAATTTTAAATAACCTATGCGGTGCTGTTAGGGTATTTTCTGCCACAAAATTGGATGCAACAATATTTTTTTTTAATTTTTAGTAGTTCTAGTAGTTAATTGTTTATGGATACCGTGGGCTAGTTTATAAAACTGGGTTATCTGTTTCCAACACTTGTCACAATTTTATCCTAAAGGACTTCAGTGCACACCCCCGTTCAAGTCTCTCTACACGCAAATTGTGATCGGGAATGTTTTTGAGTCAAAATACAATTTTATCGTTCTAATAGTGTTTACAAATGTTGAGTTGTAAATATAGTTCATTGAAATTTTCCATTGTCAAGTCTAAACTATTATTGCGGACAGATTTTCATTCATAGACCTACACCAAGAAAGAAGGATAAATAGAAAACTATGCCTTCATTATACCCGATACATTATGGAAATGTAAATTCTTCTATTTACAATCTTTTCACATCAAAATCATCGGAAACGCCATTAGCGTTCAAACGAGTTGCTAAAACCAATTCAGAATGTCGTTTAACAAACAAGAACATGTCAAGTTGGACAACAACCCATGTCGGAAATCAATGTTCCCTTTAAAGAGCCAGCCAAAATATTTCGAGCCGATTAAAACAAAACACGTTCTTCAAACGATCGCGACACGTAAAAAAGAAACCCGATCGTTGGTCGGCGCTGCACACTACACTTTCATCTACGGCCTTGGGCGGAATGAAAAACTGGTTCTCGTTTTGTTAAGTTAATAACGAAATGAGCCGAAGCCATCCGAGCCCCACTCGGCGTGTAATAAGGCGGTGCCAGGCTACAATCAGCTGAACAAATATCATTGTTGAGTTACGACGGTGGTAAATTAGAGTGAAATTAGGGATTTATCCGTGTACGATTCGAGCTCATAGAGGACCTTATTTGTATAACGCCGGGACAAACGGAATCTACATAACTACGAGGGGGGAAAACAAACGGAACATAATCCAAACATAACACTCTCACCGTTAACACCGACGACAGGAAATAGCTGGCATTCCGGGTCGAGTTCCACTACTTGAGTCCACGGTTGTAAAGATAAACATTTCGGCAGGAGGAAACGGGCTGTCTACTAGATACGAGACAGTAACACTAAACGTTATACAAACCAACGAATACTCGTGTAGACCCATGGAAACTGTTAGTTGGGAGTCTAACCTCGTTAACCTGTCAGTACATTTTCCCGGTCCTCATCGTATAAGTGGGTGATGAGGTCAACTACAGGATTTCCAAAGTGTTAAGTACGCAGTATAATTGGTAATTACCTCTCGAAGCACCCCGCCACTACCGGAATGCCGACCAATCGTGGAGAAGACCTGTGAGCCGCGTGAAATCTATAATGTCTTATTAACAGACCCTCCAGCTTCTTGCCGGGTTTTTTGTCGGAGTACGACCACCTACCAGTCCGCGTCTACAGTGGATTCCTTTGTCTGGTCCATGCCTTGGATTACACGCTCATTGCCGTTAATGAGGCTCCATCGCGGATTACTTAATTATAATTGTCTGAGAGAAAACGTGAATGGTGTGACGATTGGATTGGTTTCCCATTGTTAAGTTCTATCGTTGTTAAGTGAGCAAGAATTTACGTGGTGTTCAATGTCGTATTTCAGAGCAATTTTACAACTGGAAATACCAGAGTAAGGCCTGGCAGCAGTTATTTACAAATACATCATCCCATTTGGTCATAATAATGTCGTTAGTGAAATGATCTATAAATAAAGAGAAGACGTAAATGCACTCAATCGGTGCCGAACATTACCGTAACATTGTCTTCACCTGATGACGTAAAGGATGATTAATATCTACTGGGAAATGTGTAATGCACTAATGTACTATATTAGAGTTATCAGGGTCTAAAAGTTTGCCGAGAAGATTACAAACCAACATTCACAATTTATTTACCTCACATTTGGAAACATCCAATAAAATTCTTTTGTGATTTGGGAAAGACCCCATCAATTTCTCTACTGCAAATACTTTTCAGAGAAAAAGATCCTAAACCGAGATTAGATCTTTGTTCTGAAACAAATGAAACGCCAACATCTCCTAGGGACGTGTCGGCTCGTGGGGCGAAGACCTGACAAAAGTAAAGGCCTCGACCGATGTTCCGAGAAGTCCCGACCTTCTGGCAAGTTATTTGGAGGGATACTGGAGTGGAGCCGACAAACGCGGGCTCGACGGCCGAGAGCGGCGCGCGGAGTGATTTACTACCTCCGCGGAGGCGCTAACGATATTCACAGAATGAATGAGAACCGAGGACTCAACTGTTGCCAAAACCTGAGTGGGAGACTGGGTGAGGTCTGTGTGTCCTTGGACATTCACTGTGGTCCTGTCTGGGGATGTGGACGGGGTTATACACTTTGAGGATACTTGGACATTCACTGTGGTCCTGTCTGGAGATATGGACGAGGTTATACACTTTGAGGATACTTGGACATTCACTGTGGTCCTGTCTGGGGATGTGGACGGGGTTATACACTTTGAGGATACTTGGACATTCACTGTGGTCCTGTCTGGGGATGTGGACGGGGTTATACACATTGAGGATACTTGGACATTCACTGTGGTCCTGTCTGGGGATGTGGACGGGGTTATACACATTGAGGATACTTGGACATTCACTGTGGTCCTGTCTGGGGATGTGGACGGGGTTATACACTTGGACATTCACTGTGGTCCTGTCTGGGGATGTGGACGGGGTTATACACTTTGAGGATACTTGGACATTCACTGTGGTCCTGTCTGGAGATATGGACGGGGTTATACACTTTGAGGATACTTGGACATTCACTGTGGTCCTGTCTGGAGATATGGACGGGGTTATACACTTTGAGGATACTTGGACATTCACTGTGGTCCTGCCTGGGGATGTGGACCGGGTTATACACTTGGACATTCACTGAGGTCCTGTCTTATACATCGCTGGCCCGTCCACGCCCGTGCGTGGAACAACGTATACAGCAAAGCAAGGGGTGAGCCGGTACAGTACAGTACAAAGGTAAACTGAACTGCTAAAATGATTTTAAGGCAGTGACCAGGATCCGAACCCACGACATCGCTGCCTTAAGCCCGAAGTCCGTGACGCTAACTGAGCCCATCTCTAGCCATGAACTGAGCCACCGACTCATTAAGAGTTCCTTGATGTTTCAGTCCAGGGAGCCGAAACCCCGGACTGAGACTATTCTACGACCAAGTAAGTCATCTTCAAAATTTTTTTCACAAGCAAACACACACCATAGTGTGGGGACAAGAGAAAGCGTTCAGAGTTTGTACAGGATCATGGCTGCTGCAACTGAGGACAGATGCTGAGGAACCTGTCCAGGTAGTTGATACTAAGTGGGAACACATCCTCCTGTGTATTTTATTCGGGAAATGAAAGTTGGCGTGTAGGATATCAAAGTTTCTAGTCAGGAAAGTGTCAGGGCCATTTTTCAAATAAATGTTAATCATAATCAGGCTATTTTAAATCATACTAATATTATCACACTAAATATTAGTATCATTGAAATGACCTGATAACAACTTAAGGGTGCCAGATAAAAAAAATAAAGATGTGTATGTTTGAATTGTAATTATGCTATACTATACTTTCTTAATTTAGAGAATGTTGGCATTTTTCCAACAGTATTGGAATGATAGACTACAATATTAACTTAGTGCTACAATATTTAACATGGTGAACTCATTGTTAAGAGCTCAACTAGTAACAAAAATGAATGAATGAAAAAATCCTGGTGGCTTTAAAACCGCGATCATTCAGGAAAATCAAAGGATTACCGGATACCGCGTTGGGAGGAAGCAACATAATCGCTTTTAAAACGGAAGTTTGGGAAGGGAAACCACTGAACCAATGAACTGCCTCAAGATGTGATAAGAAAATCAGCTGAGCGACCTACGCTCTAGATAAGAGATAAAATCATCAGATGGTCCGGTAGTTCGACACTTTGGCTCGCCAACTTAAAATAAACAAAATTGTTTGTCAACTTTTTTCTCATTCTAATAGATTGCTTTCTTAAAATAGTTACTGAGCAATTTAATTCCATATTTTATTAATGTTTTACCATTGTATTACCAATTAATTCAGATAACGACGCAACTTGATTTTTACTGAAACTGAAATAAATGGCAAGTGCAAATGGAGTAAGGATTTTTTTAGTTATTGCTTAGCTGTTCCTTTAAGTAAGACTTATTAAACACAATATGAAGACCATGTGGGTCGAGTTTCGAGCTATCCAACGTCCAACGAGTCTAGAACTTTGTTTCTTAACAACACTTTGTAGTCAGAACATACCCACAGTAGTACTCGCCTTTCATACCACTGAAATAAAAATGTTCCAGAGATTTATCAACTATCTAATCAGCATATTTGAATTCCTAAATTTGATCACGGATTCAAGACTCTCTAGAATTTGCTTAAGAATGTTTAAGTATAAAAATAACTCACCCACAGATCTTGGAGAGTGATAGAGTTGTCTGTGTAGTAGACTATCGTCTCAGCACTGACTGGCCGAGGTTCTCTCAGTTTGGACGCCACGAGCAGACAAGCGCTGCCCAGCAGTTGAAGCTGAGACTTCTTGATAGGGCAGATGCTGAGGAACCTGTCCAGGTAGTTGATACTGAGTGGGAACACATCCTCCTGACACTTCTGCTCTTCGCACACCTGGGGACAAGGGAAGAGTTCAGAGTTTGGACAGGATCATGACTGCTGCAACTGAGGACAGATGCTGAGGAACCTGTCCAGGTAGTTGATACTGAGTGGGAACACATCCTCCTGACACTTCTGCTCTTCGCACACCTGGGGACAAGGGAAGAGTTCAGAGTTTGTACAAGATCATGGCTGCTGCAACTGAGGACAGATGCTGAGGAACCTGTCCAGGTAGTTGATACTGAGTGGGAACACATCCTCCTGACACTTCTGCTCTTCGCACACCTGGGGACAAGGGAAGAGTTCAGAGTTCGGACAGGATCATGGCTGCTGCAACTGAGTTGAATAGTGAAGAACTTCGTTGGTCAGTGAGGCTGAGGCTGTTAAGCTTTAAAAGGAAAACTAGAATATTATGCCAAAAGGAAAGTTCATTATTAGGACGGATTCATGGGTGCTGCAACGAAAAAAGATTGGAAAAATTATCAACATCGACTGTCAGAGAAGCAAGCTGTGGAAGCAAACTGGAAATTATTCAGAATTCGCGTTGGCTCCAGAATTGATCCTCGGAAACTATTACAGTAGAACCTTGATAAGAAGACTCTCATGGGGATCATTAAAAAAGACTTGTTATCAAGGTTGGCTCCTTATTGAGGTTTGCATAACATGTGATTAAGGGTAAAGTAAATTAAAGGGGATATGAAAATGACACTTGTTTTCAAGGGTGACTTGTTATCGAGGGTCTTCCTATCGAGGTTCCACTGTATAAAAAAACAACTTAAGATAGTAAAATGAAGTACATGAAGATAAAATTACCCTGTAGACTGTTAATATCTGAGAATATTGAGAACTGGAAGGTCACGCATTAAAAGTATTATTTTGGGCGAAAATATTACTGCCTACAATGTAGGATTTTTAACAACACAATTGGCAAACTGCGACTCAACTGGAACGGTCAAAAAGGACGCGACCTTGGTGCGATGTTATGTTATACGTATTTCAGAGCAGGGCCCATGTTTTATAGTACATTATCGATACAGTGCAGTAGACATGACTTGCAAACTGCTGTCGACAGCCCATACATATCCATCAGCAACTAAAACCTGCCACGCCACTCGACCACGGGTCGTGTCACCGAACAATGAATGATCCGTATTATATATTGTACAGGCTGAGTTGAGTACGACGAACAATTTTTGTTTTCACATAGGCCTACTGAGTCACTTGACGAAGAATCCATATCATGAACATGTTGTTTGACTAGGTTAAGACCATAGCTCATTATACAGGTTGTCCCACTTAAAAACGAATATCGAAATTGAGTACGGTACAGTTTGTGATGGTTTGTGTCACTAACAACAAATAGTCTACAGTAATCGTAAAAATTTAGTTCTTTTTGTGTTGCCTAGCAACGGATAATTGGAACTAAGGAATAGTCGGATTTCTTTTAAATGTTGCCTTAACAACCAATAATAAAAAAAATGGTTGAACAAATCTCGTCACATTAAACTGAATACTGTAATCCATATTTTGCCCAGATTATATCGATCAATACCCGTTCGACTTGACTGATTTCCTATCAGACTAAATAGTTGGTACAAACCGTTCTGTGATGCTAAGTGTCGAAATGGTGTCTGTACACCAATCTGTTTGATGTTCTACTGATCAAAGTTATTCGGTATATTATTCCCATTCTTTGTATATTCATAGCAAAATCCCAGCTTATCGGTGAGTCATATAAATGAATGTATGTGTAATTTCAACCAGTTTACATAAATGTCTCATTACATTACATTTTCCAAAACGTGAACAATTTAGACGATTTTCAAGACTTGAAACAACCCATGTCCCTACACTCAGGGTTACACAAGTTATACGATGTTTTGACGGAGACGGCACTATCGTAGTGTCGTTGTAAGTGTGTGTGTGTTAGTGAGGAGGCCAGACAGCGGAGGCCGGAGTTGGGGGCGGCGCCGTGGAGGCGGGAGGTTCACTAGGGATGCCGCTAACACAAGTACAACGTGCATCCTACATTGACATTCCTACATGTACACAACCGACGTGTAAACGCATCCAACATGTATACGTGCTGTGGACAACGGATACTACGTGTGCAGGCGATTTGAAAAAGCCGATACTGTTGGTTAGATAGGCCTACTTTTTTTCTAAAATTGAATTAGGTCGATTTAAAGTGGGCACTGAAATAAATTTTATTTTTCCTATTTAGTTTTCAAACCATTTTAACTTGAGACTGATGGTTCGGAAAATCCTTGGTTAGACGTTTAAAGACTCCCCCAAGAAAATAGAAAATCCCATTTTATGGACATTTTAAGGTTGACATGAATGCGTTAATTCATCCAACAACATATTCAAACCAATATAAACTTGTAAGTATAACTTTGATTGGTTGAAAGATAAACTAGTCTTTTGCAAGACCCTTCTCTCAAACTGGAAACTCCGAGCTCACAGGCAGGCGCAGATTATCTCACTGGGTTGGAACGGTAACCAGAATTATTTTACTAAATTGTCCTAGCAAGTCCTAGTTTAACGCAAACTAACAATTTGGCTAAACACTAAAATCTCCAAACATAGCCACCGATTCCTGGTGAAATCGGAGGTACTGTATAGATTTTATATCCCCTCTAAAAGATATAATTACAGATGCAGAGTAGTATTTTCTGGCTAGAGGATATTCAAATATCGAGAACATGCTTTGGAAAACATGCTATTTGCAAAATTTATCATGATTCTATTTTTAAATATCACACTTTATAGTTTCAATCCAGAAAGATAATTAATTGTCAGGTTAAAAGCTTTAAAGTTAGAATGTTAAAAAAGTTGAAAAAATGAAATAACTAGGTACTTTTGAACGTGCTTCCCAAGAGTATTTCTTGATAGGTGAAATGAAACACATATCAACATTGTAACGATTGATACGATAGCGATGTCAATTTGAGTGGACGACAGATGAAGAGGCCCGACGTGTGTTTGTGTGTGTCTGTGTGTGTTGAATGTGTGTCGTATTTGATGTGTGGGCGCCAGGCTGCTAGGCGATTTGCCGATCGGATGTTTGCCGAGTGGCGCCCGCCAACAGCTGGGACTGATAACATAGAGATAACACAGCAACAGAAACAGGACCACAGGGATGGGTACGGAGGCTTGGGTATGGTCAGCAGGGCTGGATATGGATAACATAGAGATAACACAGCAACAGAAACAGGACCACAGGGATGGGTACGGAGGCTTGGGTATGGTCAGCAGGGCTGGATAGTGGATATGGATAACATAGCTCGTGATAGGGGTTTGAGTTCTATTAGCTGAGCACTGCGGTGGGTCAGAAGAAAGAGTGGATGTAGCAGTTAGGTTGAAATCACTGGGGAATAATTCGCTGGGTGAAGAGACAAGAGTTCAATCAAAATGGTTGGATATTAAGGATTTTTGCAGATCGGGGAGGATAATTGAACATTCCTGCTTGAAAAATATTCAAGATCATGTAAGAAACTCATAAGTAGTATTGGGTATTAAGAGCGGCAGACTTGGTTTCGTATCACGCTTATAATAAAGAAGGAATACATTTCTGTAACATTACTTTTTAAACAAACTGACTCGCTAAAATACAGATAAATGAAAAGACTATCCACGTACTAATGAACATATAATAAATTAAATGTGTAAGTTTCCAATTAAATTAAATAACCTAGGCAGTAGATTCTTAGAGGTAGTTCAAATGTCTAATTTAACGACGCCAAATCACCAGAGTAATTTACAGTGTTGGGGATTTATTGGAAGAAAAAAAAATGCTTAAAAGTGACGAGGTTACATAAAATAGATTGTACGACGGGTTCAGATATCCCACTTCCCCTAGTTAATGCTTATGGAAAGCCATTAATATGAGGGATGAGCCTGTTACAACGCTAGTTTAGATCACTGACATATTTATGACGCGAAATCGTGTAAATCAGATAAAAAAGCGACCACAGGGCTCAAACTGGGAAGAATAGAATTAAATTCTAAATATCGACATTAAAAAGTATGTACTATTTTAGTTAAGTTTTAAACATTTTTGAGGAGTTTAGTCAAACGATGTAACCCTTTTTCTTAGTAAATACGATGTAAACAAGTAAAGGTTGCATTTAAAATTTTAACAAACTAAATTTTATCAGGCCTAAGTTAAATTTGCAGCATATACAAAGAATTTAAACTTTTTGACAAGCAGATTAAAATAGTGGACGTCAAAAAAACTACGTTTATACTTATTAATCGTTTGATATAATAGAATTATCAATAATGGACCTATTTAACATAGTTAATTAAAAAAAACATTTCGGTAAGAATGGTACAGTAATACTGTCAGAAGAGCTTAGACTATTTTGAAAAAATTGTAACTAAAACAAATAACCCAAAAGCCCGAAACATCACAAATTATTTTAAAATATTCACAGAAATCGAACAAGAAAGATTTCAAAGAAATAATTCATGTGTTTATCTGAGGCAAAAACATCGTTTTTACTGTGTATATAACAGTTTACATACAAAATGAAGTAACGCTACCTTGTGATGTCCCATAATGCGTACAAGGCGTGTAGTGAAGGCTTATTTGTTTTAAAGTGAATATTTATTGATACAGTAGTTATAAATAAGTAGTTCACTTCTTTACAAAGAATAACGCGAAATAATATAGGCTATAACTATAGAATTTATAAATCTCGTCTATCGTAAATATAGTATCGATTGAGTTTAGCTTTAAAATGGCATCTGTAAGTAAAGCATTGATTAAAAATGTTAATACAATTTGAACAAAGTAATTACTTTGTTTTGTTTGCAGCGAATAGAATATTTGCATATAATAAAATATAGTCTACGTTAAAAACAGAACAAACATGAAACATTGTTCGAGATTTTGCGATGTCTACGAAAAATATCACATTTAAAGCACACGCCCTACAAAAAATCATAAATAAAAAAAGCATGAAATATCTACTCGCCAGTTTAGCTTTTCTGCATCGTGTTTGAAATACAGTACTGACAGTTTTATAATATATTTGATTTCGTTGTAGTTGGGGATATATACTAAGACATAAAGTGTTATATACATACGCAAAACATTATGGATAGCAATGGTAAATATTTGCCGATAAAACAAATGATTTTAAGTTTGCAGACTCGATATATATTTTATAGAACGTCAAGTTTTTTACACAATGTTTGCCAATTTATCTGTTAGATCACATCGATCCTTTAAATTTCCTAAATATACACAATTGACGCAAAATCCTCACTAAAACTTGATTGGGATACATCTATGTATTCAACAAGAATAAATAATATTTTGTCGAAAGAAAGTAAGTTTTTTTACTATTGAACCACGAAATATTCAACAATTGAACTACAATGAATTCAACACGGCGTCACCAACAGAATTGCTTCATTTTGGATTGTTGAGTCAATTGCGCCAGAACCTGTTTTTGCTTACTACTTAGGCCTATTTGTGGGTAGCAAAAGTAAAAAAAGAATTTTAAAATTAATGATATGTAAAATACCATAAGCTATACGTAAGATTGGGAAACTTATTATAATACCTTTATTGTGATTAAAAACTAATACTTAAGTTAATTGTTTTAAATATCGCGATTTTACAGTATTAATTAAAATTGAACGTTACAAAAATTAATAGGCTCGTAGGCTCTACAAAGCATTAAGTTACAATATATAAAACGTATCTTAATGTGAAGATACATTATATACGAACATGTCAACATGCCTTCTGTATATTTAAATTAAATCCTATATCTCTGTAAAATAATAATAAACTTTATCATTTTAAGTACTTTAACTCTTAATGAGAGTTACAAGTTTTTAACTGTTCCGTGTTCGAAACCTTCACTATATTCGTGACGTTTAAAGGTTAATATTTATTTTGAGGTAAAACCAAAACTTAAGAATACAATTTTGTATAATGGTGCGGTATATGTTTTTTACCATCACCCATACAAGTCTACAATGACGAATCAATTATTTATATTTAAACTATAATATAGCTCTCAATATTAGTGCGTAGTCAATACAATGTAACAGTTTTAGACTATTTTCAAATGCGTCGAAATCTATTAATCCTAATTTAAATAGATTTACATTTAACTATTAGAACAGATTTTAACATTCGTTCTTTTTCAATCGGCCATACAAATTTATAATGCTATATAAATTTAATGTTAATAATAATACAGTATTAATAGTTAAAGAACGATATCTTCCGATCGATGGAGACGAAGAAAGACCACCATCTTCGGTAATAATGTAAAAAACTGTAGATGCTGTAGAAGTAGAACTGTACGTAGTTGATAAAATAGCATCCTGAAGAAAAAATCTACGTCATTGGCATTTCCCGTGATTATGCCAGATTTCTAGCCTCGTTTGGTCGCGCTGATTTCGTTACGAGAAATTCAGATACGTGGCGATTTTGCAATCGAATTTAATATCCCTCCAAGGAAAGTTTTGTCTAACATTATACAGGGTGGGGCAATGAAAGCACCCCAATTTATAAGCTGTACAAACTCAATAATATTCACCCTATAGATATAAATAGCACATCAAAACACAGCTTATCTTTTGCCATTTTAAATTAACAAAGTAATTTTTCCATTTCTTGAGAACAAAATTATGCAAGTGACGTCCTTGTCCTACTTGACATTCCTTTTAAGGCACAACTCCATCAAATACTCCTCCAGCATTTCTTTAGGTTCACTTTAGTTTTTGGACAATTCTTAGCTTCAGTTCAAGCAAATCTGTGGGGCGACCTTGAAAAACCTCGAACTTCAAGTAACTTACTAGAACAACCCCCCCCCTCCCAAAAAAGGAGCCAACAACAAAAGCTTCCTGGAAAATCCCTTTGGACTTTGAGTTACTGCGACTCGCACTCTTTCAACTTTTGCTGGTATACAAAGAGTTTTGCGGCACCCACCGATTATTTTTTAGGTTAAAGCGTTTATGCTAAATAATTTTACCCAGTTAACCATTGTTTTCCAATCGGGAACAGCACCATGTTGACCAAGGATGGAATGTGGTCCAAACCAAACAATCTCTTGTTTTTTGCACAAAAATCACTGTTTTAAAAATAGGTTTCCCCATCAAAATCTCAGTGTTAATAGCCACAGGCATAATATTTACTAAAATTGCATAGTTTAATGGATGTTATAAGCACAGCTGATCATTCGTTGTTGCAACAATTAACATGTGACATGTAAAACAAATTGTGGCGTTCTCATTGCCTCACCCTAGTTCTGGTAATTCTGTTTGATGAATCAAAGGAAATTGTTACAAGTCAATGTTTACTACATGCGTTTCGTTCATATAGGATATTAGACAATTATCCACTGTATGATACAGATTTTGATAATATAGAGTAAATGTAGCGTTAGGTATTAGTTGTATGCTAAATACAGAATCAATGTTTACAATCTCTTTCAGGAGCATTTAGACCCACCCTTGTCCTTTGTTAGCGCTGATTCCTCTTGGGATTTCGGCACGAGCCGATCCTCGGGGATTACGTTTTTTGTTGTTTTACTTTGTGCTTACCAAAATACACCTGTTTACTTTTCCGGAACTTTTAGCAAATGTAGGTTACGTATATGTATGACTTATAAGTCTATACTTATAACGGTAACGATGAGAAAATAATGCGTCAGTTTTGTGATTGAAATACATATTTGAAAGAAGAATAAAATATGTAACAATGTCAGAAGTAAGAATGATATCACTGCCATATTTTATAGAAGAAAATTATATTTGTTGCGTGCGTTTTCTTATTATATTTTTGATACTATTCAAAGGATGAATACATGAATAACCTACTTGTGCAAACTTGTACTTGCATACAAAATGACCCGCAATGAATATATTCCTGAATATAGCTTTTTCGTTCTACGAATATTTTTTTCAAAACCATCACAAATATTATATTTTATAGATACACCGGTACCAGTATTAGCTACAACTGTAAACCTGTTTCGCCTTTTAATAGGGTTTAAACCGTTTAAAACCCTTTTTCAATTTCAGGAAATTCCATCCTTGTAGTGCTATTGAGAAGTTGTTTTAGCTTAATAGTTAATGTAAAATAGTGTAATAAGGATGATGGTATTGCAAGATAAAAATGATTACAATAATGATAAGAATTATTCTGATTATTTAAACGATTTTAAGACTTTTAACCTTTAATTTGTTGTGCAATACAGTACTAAGTACACAAGGTCTACAGTCAAGTTTGCTATCCCAAAAGTGACGAACGCGTGATGATGGTGCAGTTTTGTTGTTTTAAGAATTGTAGGCATTAATGAATCGAAGTAATGTAACTAAATCTATTAATAGCGACTTGATTCGACTTATACTATACAATCAAGATTTTAAAACTCTTGAAAAGGGTAATAAGGCTACATGTTAGTCTACATTACGAAATCTCACAAATGACAAAATCTCCAAACTGTCGTCAAGTCAAGTAGATCGTGTCTCTTAACACTTAATTAAGTAATAGCTCTAGCTGCATCCTAGGTTTTCTCATGCACCGTAAAAGTTTTTAGTAAGGATTGATTGATAACTGAAAACTGGATTTTATTCTTTCCTTCAGGATGAAAGGTAACATAAATCATATGCAATACCATGCAGGTTAAACTAATTGCCTATTTACTTATATGCAGTATCTTTGTTGTTATCATTGTCATCCCAATTTTATCGGTCTTTGAGACTTTAAACCATAAGAACTATCAAATCGTCTAATTCAATCTATACATGCACTTGATTGTATGCTTAACACTACTCCGCTTATAAGTTCTTATAAGTTGAATCAGCTGATTGTTACGAACGCTTACATTATTAGCATTATTATTACATTATTAGCTTACATTATTGTTTATTGCACCCAACGTAATCAGCTGTTTCTCGTATTTCCTCAGTCAGTATTGATATTTGTTTTATTGCGCTCTAGGTACTTTGAACAGATGTGATCAGCTGATTCTTGTGTGTTCTCAGCATTTTTTCACTATACCTACTGTTCCTCAGCACTGTTGTTATTGTTATTGTTGACACTGTACCCACCTCCCACATCCAATCAGCGACAATCCTCCTCATGTCCGGATTCAGTTCTCTCTGGACACACTCGAAGTAGTTGATGCCGCTCGCATACTTGTCCTCGTCCGTCAGCAGGTTCCTCAGCACGCGTGCGTCGTTCAGCAAAGCCGGGTCAGCGTAGGATCTACATTCGCACTCGGTTTCGCAACATAATAAATCCATATTTGATATATTACAAACACTTCGGTACACTAAACGCACTTAGGAATCGGAAGGAACTAACGTTTGAGAGCTCGCCACTACGCGACTGCACGACTTACACCTGGAGGCAGCCCAGGCAGGAATGATAAAAATTAAAGAGTGGTGGAATTCCTCGCCGGCTCCCCACCACCTGATGTTTCCCATAGCCCCCCCTTCCACACCGGAGAATGAAAGACATTGCGGGCGAGCTTCACATATCCGCCGCCGCAGCGCTGCCGGCGCCTGCCACTCTTGTTCTTGTTGTGGTCCAGGGTCCAGTCCAGTCCCAGTCCCAGAGCTAGACAAAGGAGGCCTTGCCTTCGACGTGGACTGTCCCTGCGTCGCCACTGTCGGCAAACATCGCCAACTTTCCCTTTGTTACACGATTAAATCGGGTCTATTGCAAAAGTTCAACACATCAGTGACAAGTCTAGGAACATTTAAACTGTTTGACGATGATATCGAAAATTGACAAGAAAGAGAGTTTAACCTAGCCTAACTAAAACTGGCAAAGAAGCTAAGATAGGTTGATCAATTAGATAAAATCATGTATAATCGGTTATTCTGTTGGCGAGAATGTAAAAAATAACATACTTAATTAAATGAATAAACAATTACTGTTCATTACACCAAACCCTTATTTCAGAATATTTCGGAAAAATCAAATAGTAGCTCACCTAGTTCATTAGCTGTGTTTCTATCAAGTTTCAAGTGGGATGAATGTAATTGTTTAGTAAATAATACTATGTTCCCAATAGTGCAGTAAACATAAGCGAAAAATTCCATAAACCCTCCCAAAAGAATAGCACAAGCAAGGAATTTGGTACTGATGTTGGGTGTACCTTCCTTTTGAACATACTAAAAGTCCCCTAAAATTGAAGCTGTCCTATGGCAGCCATATTGGAAAATGGCGGCATATTTATGTATTTTTTTATATATTGGCCTTATTATTAGAGATACAGGAAAATCTAACCATAGACTAACCAACACAAGTAGACTTCTCATCCCATTGTAAATTTTGAAGCTCGTTTTTCATGTCTAGTTCATGTACGCCACACTGGGCGCTAATGTCGACGAAATTTTGTTTCTATTATTTTAGGGTTAATTTCTTGATTTGTGCTTTACTGTTTGGTTATATACCCCCGCTGCAGCAAACCTGCCATCTAAGCGAATTTCCATTTGGCTGAATTGATTTTCAATCGATCTATTAAATAGCATTAGGTTTAACAAGTACCTAGGTTTGCTGCTACAAGGAAACTAATAAAGTGTGTGTTTTAAGTAAAATAATTATTGCTTGGTAGAAAATGAATATATTTGCCAAGATTGATCAAAAGATATCCATAAACAAGCAAACTACAACATTTTACAATATTCTCCATAAGAATAACATGGGAATTTTAAATTTACCATTTTTTTCGTTTTCTCCGTAACCAATAACCGTACAAAAACACTTTGATATACTGAATTGTTTGTTTTTTTAAGCTCTTTAAGAAGGTTTAGAGAAAAAATGGGAAATTTTGTGTTTTGAGGGTCAAAAGTGAGAAAAACCAATTTTTACCCCATAAAACCCCCCATAAAACCCTGTTCCCATGGTCCGATCATGCTGGATCGCGAACTCATTCAAGTTTATCCGGCCTTACATCTTCAAACCAAATTTCATCAAAATCGGATAAAAATTACTCAAGTTATCGTGTTCACGGACACATATATATATAAATCTATATATATATATATATATATATCTATATATATATACATATATAAAAATTTTAACGAATGGTGTTTTTGGCCTCTGGGGACATCAAAATGAAAAAGTAAATCGGTCCCGGGCCTAAGTCTTACCATGAGACCTACGGTAATAGCTACTTCCCTATAGGGAAATTCGCTAATAACTAGGGGACAGGTTATTGTTTATGATTATATCGTATTATTTGGTTAAACGAGGTTTTAAATGGCTGTAATAACGGGAAACAAATTGTAAACAAAACACGACCTCTACAGAAAAACGTACAGAACTAACAATAAAATTGTCTTCAGCTGTTCCATAAGGATGAGAAATCTACCAAGGGAGTATGTGTTATCTATGATCTAACTGTACGAAATGTAGTCCATCTAAAAATACACATTTTTTGTACATATCATTTTTCTTTAAACCTAACGTTTTTTGAGTTATTTGTGATTAAGTGTATTTCGTTTTTTTATTTCTAAAAAATAGGCGAAACTTATCGAAATTGACGGTTAAGTTTTCAAGGTTTACGACAATTCATCCCATTTAGTTAAATAGTGTGATACTATAAAATCTTAAAATTTAACTTTATTTAATGAGTAAAATAACTCCGCCACAGCAAACCTGCAGACTCAGCAAATTTCCATTTGGCTGATTGGATGTTTTATTAAATATATAAATAAAGTTTTAACAAATACCTAGGTTTGCTGCTACAGGGAGGGTAACATAGTTTGTTTTTTTTTTAGTAAAATATCAATAGCTTAGTATAAAATAAACTAATTTTCCAAGTTTTATCAAAATAAATCTATGAACAAGAAAACTACAACAGTTAACTTATTCATAAGAATAGCATGAGAATTTGTAAATTTACAATTTGCATATTGTGCGGTTACTAAAAAAATGGCGATTCACCGTCACGATTCGAATACTAAACGAAGAGGGTTTCAAAAGGAGATGGAACAAGTTATTTTAGTAATATTAACTCTATCAAGCACCGAAAATGTTGTAAGCAGTGAGGTAATCAACCATATTTTGTAAAGTACGCAATAGTCATATTAATATTTTATCCTCATTTTGTACCCATTAAATAACGGTACATTTTAATATTTTGATGCTACCACCACACTAACACAAGTAGTGGACTTGACATCCTATTGTAAATTTGGAAGATCGTTTTTCGTGTCTAGTTCATGTTGGTGACACTGAAAGCTAGTGACGAAAAAATTTTGTTTCATTATTTTAGGGGTAATTTTGTGATTTGTACTTTACTGTTTGGTTATATAAATAGGAGACGTATAATTTTTTACGATTAGATCGTTTTATTCCGTTTAACTAGGTTTTCAATGACTAACATAACTAGAAACAAATTGTAAACAAACCACGATCTCTACAGTCCACCGGACGGAACTAACAACAAAATTCTTCAGCTGATCCATAAGGATGAGAAATCTATGGGAGAACATTTAATCCGTTGATTGATCCATCCATGATATGACTAAACTATATCTCCATGATATCTGTTTAACTGAGTGGGATGAATAATTGTCGTAAACCTTGAAAGTAACCATAGATTTTGATGGGTTTCACAGATTTTTTATAAATAAAAAAATCTAACTATACTTAATTGCAAATAACTCAAAAACTGTTGGTCTTAGAGAAAAATGATAAACATCAAAAATGTGTACTTATACATGGACTACATTTTTTATATTTAGCTTTTTCCTTTATCTCTAATAATAAAGCCACTATAGCGAAAAATACAGAAAGATGCCAACATTTTCCAATATGGGGGCCGTAGCACAGCTTTAATTTTAGGGGACTTTTAGTATGTTCAAAAGAAAGGTACACCCAACATCTGTACCAAATTCCTCCTTGTGCTAATTCTTTTAGCCAACCAAACATACAGTATATCACTGTGCAATATCAATGACATAATCAGCAAGAGAGTCTTATACGTATATGTAATTGGGGAATCATTTAGAAGTTATACCACAGTTTATTAATGTTTTAGCTGATGGAAGTTTCTTATTGTATAATAGTATAGCCTTTTGTAAACTGAAGTAGAAAACACATCGACTACTTTCAGTTTATAACTAAAATGAGCCTATTAAATAGGCGTCAAAAGGGTTTGTGTTAAATTTTATTCCCCTTTAATTTGATGCATGCTATACAACTTTTGTAACATGGCCATGCCATTTTTACTTCATGGTAGTAGGACTTGTATCTATGGTTTATGGTAATACACATGGCTGGGTAAAATAGTCAATCAATCGACTAAACTAATCCAACAAAATTATCATCAGCATCTTACAAAACAATCAATAATGTGTTGCCAAGTTTTTCAAGTTAGGTTTTTTGAAGGAGGTTTCAAAGCAACATTGCCATTACCACAGCATATAAACTGAAGAACGTCAATGCTAACTCCAAAGGCATGGTGCGAGACAATGTGATAAGGACCTAAGTATAGTAAAGATAATACTTCCGGCCTCTGTTCTAGTTTCAATATTTTACCAAACTCATCCACATTTCTGCATTCATAACCTTAATAGATGTATTAATTTATCAATATTCACTTATTGAAGGATAAAAATAAGAAAAGTTATAATAGGCTCCTATAATTCTATTCTAGTTATAATAGGCTTCTATAATTCTATTCTAGTTATAATAGGCTTCTATTATTCTATTCTAGTTATAATAGGATTTCTATTCTAGTTATAATAGGCTTCTATTATTCTATTCTAGTTATAATAGACTTCTATTCTAGTTATAATAGGCTTCCATTATTCTATTCTAGTTATAATAGGCTTCTATAATTCTATTCTAGTTATAATAGGCTTCTATTATTCTATTCTAGTTATAATAGGCTTCTATAATTCTATTCTAGTTATAATAGGCTTCTATTCTAGTTATAATAGGCTTCTATTATTCTATTCTAGTCATAATAGGCTTCTATAATTCTATTCTAGTTATAATAGGCTTATAGGTTTCTTTGTAATCCGAGGGCCTTGGAAACCCTTTTCTTCAGATCTTTAGACAAGACTCGTAAAAATGGGAAACAGTTTGTGAATTCAAAATAAATATTGGCTAGAAGAGGGTGAAAACGAGGATGGGAGGGTAAGAAATAAGCCCGAAATAGTTGTAGTCCCTATATTTTAAAGTAGAAGAACCTTTAATCATCAATCCTCAATCCAACAAATATTTGATAAAAACTCTTATACTGGTGTAGTTGTTTAGTTTAAAGAAAGTTCTCGTAAATGAAAAGACTTGCATTTTTTTCTAAATAGGTGGATCTACAGTACATGATCGTGGGTTCTGAGCCACTGGGCCAATAGCCTATCACATCCGGTGTTAATGCCTTCAAGTAT